CCCACTGCGTTATCACTCCAGCCCTGTTTTTTTATTTTTGGTTTGGAAGTCAAACCAACAATTTGTTTATTTATTAATTTATTTTATTAGTGAAACGCCATGAGGTACAGTTGTAGACTTACAAACTTTCATGCTTGGGTTTCAGTTATACAATGATCAAGTACCCATCCTTCCACCAGTGTCCATTCTCCACCACCAATGAACCCAGTAGCCCTCCCACCCTCCACCCTCCCACCCCCCACCTTTGTGGCATGGCATTCCTTTTTGCTCTCTCTTTAGGGTGTTGTGGTTTATCCACCCCTTTTTTTCATAATCCTATCTAAGGCATGTTCTCTTGTAGAGAGCTTCAAGTTGGATTGTGTGTGTGTGGCGGCGGGGGCGGGGGGCGGGTGTTGTGTATGTAAGAGATCCATCCACTTTGTGGTTTCTGAGTCTTGATTCATGAATTTAGGTCATGAAATTTAGTGGAATTATAAATGTTAATAAATTTATTATTTTTTCTGTAAATCTGGGACATATTTTGTCCCTGTTCACCTGTTGGTCTCATTCTCTTCCCTTATACTCCATTACCTTCCTTTTCTGTAGTCATCAAGCTTCATTTGCCTCTTGTTTGTTTCCTCACACATTTGTTTTGAGGCTACCAGAACCCCAAATTTTTTTGACTAGGTTCTAAGTTTAGATTCAGTCTTTTTTGTTTTTGGACACAACTGGCAGTACTCAGGGCTTACTCCTGGCTCTGATCCGTCCTGTCAGATTCAGCAGATCATATGTGGTGCAGCAGAATGAACCCATTTTGACTTTGTGCAAGGCAAAGAGCCCTACCCTCTGTACTATCACTCCAACACCATAGATCCCACTTTTGATGGAAAGCTATTAAGTCAATTCATGAGTGCTCAATATTAGTCTCTTCCTTTCCCACACACTATGTTTTTTAGATATCTTGCTACTTCCCAATAAGACTTTCCTTCTAAAGCTGGAGGTAAGGCACTTCCTTTGCATTCTGCTAATCCAAATTCAATCCTCAGCACTTTACATGGACGACTGAACCCTCCCAGGAAAGATCCTTGAGCACAAAACCAGCTAGGAGTAAAGAATAAGCACAGCTTGGTGTGGCCCAAAAAAATAAATACATTTTATATTTTATTTATTTATTTGCTTTTTTGGGTCACACCCAGCGATGCACAGGGTTTATTCTTGGCTCTGCACTCAGGAATTACTCCTGGCAGTGCTCAGGGAACCATATGGGATGCTGGGACTTGAACCCGGGTCGGCCTTGTGCAAGGCAAACACCCTACCCGCTGTGCTATCTCTCTAGCCCCTCTTTTATTTTATAGAATTTCCTTTATTATTTATTTCACAGTTGGTTTAGTGGCAATGAATTCTTTTCTTTACTATAAAGCTTTTTGTCACTTCTTCAAACGTAAGTGATGTATCAGCAGGATACATCAATAGGTGGTCTTGGAAGGTCTTTTTTCACTCAATATTGTGAATATATCATGCAGTTTCCTTCAAGTCCTTAGAGTTTATGTGGAGAAATTCACCAATGGCACTAATGAGAGTCATATCTTCTTTTAGGATTCTTTCTTTATCTCTGACTCTTTGTATACTTCTATTTGAACTGTATTGTTTATAGCTCTTTCAACTTCCAGTATCTATTGCCTTCAACTTGGGAAATTCCTTTGCTATTATATCTTCAAAGAAAAATTCTGCCTCCTCACATCTCTTTCTGGAATTCTTATAAGCAAATGTTCTTCATCTTGATCCTATCTCACCTTGCTCTTATATTATATTTAGTTTAATTCTTTAATATATTTTTTTAAATTCTTTAATATCTTGTTTAAAATTCTTTTTCCCTGCTGCTCCTTTTGGATACTTTCCTCCAATATTATCTTCGAGTTCACTGTTTTAATATTTGGTGGTTTAATAATCTTTTATTTAAACTCTCTGTGTAAGTTTTAGTTGCTCTTCTGTATTCTTTTTCTTCACCTCCCTCTTCTTCCATAACTTTCCCCTAACTTCTCTTTATGGAGTCCAAATTGTTGGATGAGCAGGGGGTACACACAAACTCGGTTGTGTTGCTTTCACTTTTGGGTGTGGTATAAGAGGTACATCTCATCGCAAATTTGTACATTTGGCCATGGTGCTTGCCAGGAGACACACAAAACTAAATTTGGTGCTGGACATGTGCAAGGGGTTCCATTGTTTAGTTATTGGTGCTTGTACACAATCTGGTTGTGTTCACTTGGAATTGCTGTGGATCTCCCAATCACTCTTGCCATGTGTTATACTCTTGGCTGCTTTGCTCACACATACTTTTGTTGCAGTGCTCATCAAGGACTTCAAAGTTTAGCTTCAGCGTATGAAGCTGAAGTTCCTGCGTGTATGGTAGAGACTGCAAATCCTGATGTTTAACTGGAGTTCCCAAACAGTAGAGCGGAAGAGACCATGTTTGACATAGGCAGGAAATATTGGAGATGAACTTATGAACTAACATTTGCAAGCAAGGACTTTTGGCCTCTGAGTCACCCCCCAGGCCCAGTGTGTCTGTCCCCTTCACCTCTATGACTTTTGTTTGAATTCTTCTCATACTTTCTGGGTCCTTGTTGAAGTTCTCTTACATTGCTTTCATTTCAGTATCATCTGTGCTCATCCTTTGAGGTCTTCATTAGGGATTTCCCGTAGCTCTGATATACTTGGAATTCTTTCCAGGCCTTTTTGATTTCTCATCCCTTTGTCTCTTGATAACGGTGCTATAAGAGGATTTGATTAGAGGGTCCATGTTCAAACAAGTCCTGCCAATTCTGGGTGTTCGTGATTCCAAGTGCCGGGTCACAGTAATGTTTCCAAGTTTATGTGCGTGCCCTGCAGTGAGTGTAGCACTACTCAGATCTCTATGACCACTGGCATATTTGTCATAACGAGGATTATGCAACACATACAATGTTAGGGTCAAGCCGACCTGGGAAACATCAGGAGGATTGAAGTTGCATGTGTTTTGCATCACATTTCAGTGGACCTGGTCTGTCACTTGATCTTCTAGACTCCCGGTGCTTCAACAGGCAAACCTGGAGAGGTGGCTAGGGAGTCCATATCAGGAAAGTCTGTGGAGGAAGCTGGACGCTTAGTCATAGAACGTGTCCTCTGGGGTTAACAGAGCAAGGGGTAGGCGGACCATAGATCAACAAAGAATTTGCAGCAGACAACGGGGCCCTTGCTAACTGGTGGTACTTTGCTGCTTTATTTATTTATTTATTTATTTATTTATTTTGTCACCTTTACCACTGAATATTTTAATTTGGACGAACATTTATGATATTGCACTTTAATTTCAGATTTCACATGTTCATCACTTTACATAGAAATGCAAATTTTTATGTGTTAGTATTCTCATTATAATTTAAATTAAAAAAATTATTAGTGAATCACTATGAGGTACAGTTACAGACTTATAACTTTTGTGCTTGCATTTCAGTCATACAATGATTGAGGACCCATCTCTCCACCAGTGCCCATTTTCCACCACCAATGATTTCAGTATCCCTCCCACCACCCGCAACCCATCTTTCCTTTTAGGTGTTGTGGTTTGCAATCGAGGTATTTAGTGGCCATCGTGTTCAGTGTATAGTCTACTTTCGGCACGCATCTCCCATTCCGAGCGGGTCCTCCAAACACCCTTTACCTGGTATTCCCTTCTCTATCTGAGCTGCCTTTGTGGCTTTCTTAGTAGCAGTAAGATGGGGACTGAGATTTGTCTGCTGGGTTTAAGAATTTTGTCTGCTGGGTTTAAGATAAGTATCTCTCAGGCCCCAGCTAGCAAAAAGATGACTAATATGACACTCATAGGTGACTCTGACTCCGCTTTTTTGCTCTAAAATTTGTCTCTCAGTAAATGGTTTTAAGTATAAGATTGTAGATTTGAGGTGTGGGTGTTCTTTGTAACCCACTCCCTATTTATTCCCTGGGCAGAGTGCAACCTCTTAGATATTTCTTGCTTGCTGCAGCTTCTTCCTTGTGATGGGTGTCCTTTAGTGAGGGTTTCTCTATCTCAAATCCATCTAAAAGCTTATTCTGTCCCTTTCCTATAAAATTAATTGGGCTTCAGGTTGTTTTCTGTGTAACCATGCAAGTTTTAATATATGTTTACCTTCATCTGAGAAGGGTACAAATACAGGTTCTCAAGTTCAGCCACTTCCTGTATTTTTTTTTATTTTACTTTTTAATTTGAAAAAGTTGCTGCTTTTTTGGTATTGTTTCTATCTCTTCTTTATGATGCTGTTTTCCCCCCCTTAAATCTGTTGCTCAGTGTTGAATTTATTATGTTTTTTTTGTTATTCGTTTCAACTTTTAAAAATGTTAAGATAGTTGAAGTTGTCATTTTCTTTTCCCTTTACTTCCTGTCCTTTACGCTTTGTATAAGGTCTTCCCCCCCCCCTTCTGCTGATTTATCCTCCTGTGTTTCTCTTTTCTCGTAGAGTCGTGGAAGTTTATCATTAGCATTAAGAAAGTTCATTACTCTAGCTTAAAAGATGGTGTAGCTATGACTTCTGACATAGCTTAATTCTTTTTATCCAATGTAGTCATAAAAAAGTAAGCATTAAGTATTGTTTGGTAATTTGAACTCAAGCATGAACTTGAATAATTTCTGTAGATCTTTGTACAAGTGCTGTAGTGCGCAATAATTCTACTCAGAGTTATTAACCAAGGTGCACATATACATATTTTTTTCTCCTTTCAATGATACTATTTTAAATTTCCATACCTTAAAAGTAAATTACATTTAATCCAATATGCAATGGATTTTGTTATTTTATTTGGATCAGGTTTTGTTATTTTATTATTTAATAAGTATTTTATCATTATGTTTATTATTTTATTTTTGGATTTTGTCATTTTATTTATAAAATATGCTATTTTATTAAATAATTCTCTTTGTTTAATAATATAACATCTTAGTTAAAACAATAAAGTATTTGTTCACATTAATTTCATTTTTCCTTCAGTTTTATCCAGGCAGGATGCTTCCCAAGTCCTAGTTAGGAAACGTCGTGCAAACTCTATGTTGGAAGAAGCCAGAGAGGGCAACCTTGAAAGAGAATGCATTGAAGAAATTTGTAATAAAGAAGAAGCCAGAGAAATCTTTGAAAATCATCCTGAAACAGTAAGAATTCATGCAAACTATTAACGTAGCACACCTAAGCAGCTTGAGTCTGTGTTCTATTGTGTCTGTGTTGCAGTTAAATTGTGTGTATCTCCTTCCAGTTCTAATCACTGAAGCATTTTAGGAGGAAATATCTTCAAAGGAAGGTGGACTTGTTAGGAAGACACTGTTGCCAAAGGCATTATATTCTGACCAGTGTATAATTTAGTTCAACCTTATTATCAGCAAATAGTATTTACAAAATGGGTTTGTAAATAATCTCCACCAGAATTTGGTGGTTTTGGATGTACGAGGGACTCATTTCATGTACATTGTGTGTGTGTGTGTGTGTTGTGTGTGTATGTGTTATTACATTGTCATTATGCTTTATTAAAGTTCTACATTGGCCACGTAATAGAAAAAGAAACCTGATAATCCAGAACATGGTACATAAGTAGGTGTTTAGTGAATGTATAGTGATGAATTCTTTTCAATGTTATGTATCCTGAGTATACTTTAATTTACCCCATATACCTTGAGATGTATCTATGCCTATTCTGACTCTTGGGCTAGAATTTATATTTTTAATAAATAAATTTTTCCTAGTTAGTGGAAAATAATCTAATCAGAAAGACTTCTGAGCATTGCAGAGAAATCTGGATACCCCCTGGACCTCATTTTTAGTCCACTAATTTTCCTTAGACATATGCTAGTTTTAAGATGTCCTGTGCAACGCAAGAAGCAAGTGTGTAAACGGTACTTCTAAGAGTGAGGATGAGCACTACATTGAGAATTCAATCTAATAAACCTCAGGATACCTCAGGTATTTTCTGAGATAAACTCTAAAATATCCAAGAGGAGATGAGGGAGAAAGCATTACCAAATAACTCCTTTACCTTTGCCTTGGCCTCTGAGTTCATGATACTAGATGAGAGTTAAGAAAGTGGAAGCCCCTTCTTTAAAGAGATCTTGTCTGACTCAGTAATCATTTAGTTACTCTCTTTCTCTTTGGGGTTTCTCTTTGATCCTTTTTACCGCCACCTACTTCCACCTAGGTTCAAAGGCATTCCCAACCTAGGCATTCATTTTTAATAGTGGGTGAGAGGGAGTAGGTGAAATTTAAAAGTTTTTCTTTCATTTTTATTGCTTTTTAGGATAAGCTATTGACAAGGCCCAATTGTATTTCTACTATTTAGCAGTCTGATGGAAACAGATACACATGATATATATATTTACACATTTCTTTTTTATCATGTAAACTTGAAATATTCACCAAAGTAGAGACAATATGATAAACTTCCACACCCTTTTTCCTAGGCTTCAACAATGGTAAACCCTCTGCCATTCTTGATTGGTCTATTTTTCATCCCAACTATTTTTTATTGTATTATTTTTATATGTTAATAATGTGATTCTATTTGTTAATAATATAAATTTGTGTATATATTAATCACAATATAATAATATTATACAATTATTTTAGATTGTTGTATTATTTTGTATTATTGAATTATTGTATTATCTAATACAATACTATACTGTATTAGATATGTATTGTATTATTTGTATTATTGTATTGTATTGTATTATTTTTGCTAGAACAGCTTAAGAAAAGTCTGCATGACTGAGACTTCATTTTTTTAATTACATTCATATACATTCTTGAGTATTTGTTTCTGGTACTATTTATATGTTCTAATAGTTTAGCCTTTGAGTAGCAAATGGCAGTCATCACGATGAGGAGGGGAGATGGTGAAGAATGGAAGCTCATCTACCTGCTTCTACTTCTCTAATTTATTCTCACTTTGGTCTCAACAGTATCAGCTGATACCATAAGGAAGAAATAAAGAGAAATGAAATAAAAGAAGACAAAACAGAGAGAGATAGCACAGAGGTTAAAGTGCTTGCCTGACAAGTGCAGACTGTGGTTTCATTTCCTGCACCACATATGGTCCCCGTGAACCAGCTGGATGATCCCTTAGCAAAGGGCCAGTAGTAAGCACTGAGCACTGCTGAGTGTGACCTCTAAATAAAATCAAGAAAAGTTAAAGAAAAAATCTGTTACTGATTTTAACTTTCTTTCCTTCTGTCTGTTTCCTTCCTTCCTTCCTTCCTTCCTTCCTTCCTTCCTTCCTTCCTTCCTTCCTCCCTCCCTCCCTCCCTCCCTCCCTCCCTCCCCTGCACCACTTGTCTCCCACCCTGAATCCCTAGGTGTAGCCCTAGAGACCCCTGAGTATCCCTAGATGTGGCCCTCGTGATCCCCAGCACTGTAGCACTGCTGGGCCCCGGCAGCACTGATTCCTCAGGACTTCTCATTGGACTCCCTGTGTGTTCACTGAGAATTGTCGGATGTGCTCTCCATCCCTCAAGCATCACTTGGGAGACCCTGTACATAGTTCAGTAAGAAATTATTCACTGTAACTTTATAAGTTTAGAAGGTCTTTCTATCTGAGACACAACTCTACAAGTCAGTTGACAATTATACCTGGAATTACATTGACTCTAACATCCAGTTTTATCTGATTTCTTTCTACCTTAGTAATTTTATTTAGTTCGCCTCCCCCTCTCCCTCCCTTCCCCTTCCTTCCTTCCTTCCTTCCTTCCTTCCTTCCTTCCTTCCTTCCTTCCTTCCTTCCTTCCTTCCCTCCCTCCCTCCCTCCCTCCAGTCATTATGCCTGACAGTGCTGGGGGACCATACAGGGTGCCAGAAATGGAACCCAAGTCAGCTGTGTGCAAGGCAAGCACTCTACCACCGTACAACCTCACCATTTCATCATTTCATTTCATCATCCTGTTATTCGTCGATTGCCTCGAGCAGTCCCCAGTCCATCCTAGCCCTGAGATTATATTCAAGGCTCTTTAGGAGAATGAGACCCATCATTGTTACTGGTATTTGGCATATTGGGTACGCCACGGGGAGTTTGCCAGACTCTGCCCTGTGGGCAGGCTACATTCGATAGCCTGCCAGTTTGTCCAAAGTAGGAATGAGATAATAAGATGTCATAAAAAGATGTCCTGATAAGATGTCGGCCGCGCGGTTCCGGGATCTGGATTTTATAGTCTCTGAGTCTTGGCTGCTGATGGGATTACACAGCGCCAGGGGGCCAGGTGGTGGGTGTGACCCCCGCCTACTGGAATTTGGAGGATCTGGGTGGAGGATGCTCGACTCCAATCCGAGTAGGCTTGGAAATCTCGGCCCCGGAGCCCGCGTGGCTTTGTCCCTCTGCCAGTACCTTCATGTGTGCGGAGAGTGGTCTCAGCATGGTGGTGGCTGGTCCTGGAGGTCTTCGGCTGCCAGAGCCCTGGTGGGGGCGGGGAGGAAAGCTCAACCCGCTCCCCTCCAAGGGGCCCCGGCGAGGAACCTCAGAAGACAACCTCACCAGTCCCTACTTTTTATTTTTCTATGCAACATCAGTCACTTCCTGTCCTTGTAAAAATCCCAATATAGACATTCCTCAGCACCATTCCATTACTTACCTCCTTTATCACTAAAATAGACTTTTCTTCCATATCTTCTCCTTTCAACCTTTCACTATTGCCGCTCCTCTTGAGTTTTGTTCTGTGAAAAACAACACTGCTGTCTGAATTCCTCAGTGTGAGAGTCCATCCTTAAATTTGTAAGTCTGTAACAGTACCTCATGGTGTTTCACTAAAAAAAAAAAGAGTAGATAACTGTTGTGTATTTAAATCACAAGAGAAAAGAGTGGTTACTTTGAGTCTACAACTGGATAAAATTATATAATGTATCTGATTACAGTTTTGTCAGGAAGTATTTGTTTCTCATTAGCTAATCTTATGTTACTATTGCTTTGCATTATATATGTATATAGTAGATGCTGTAGCTTCAGAAAGCTTTTGTAAACTATCCTGGGAGCCAGAAAATTAATTTGTTAGTGGAAATTAGCGATTTAGTTGCTTAATATTGTCTTACACCTTTGCATTTTATTGTTTTAATGCTATTAGTTGTTTATTCCTGGTATATTTATTATAGAATAAATGTTGTAGTATGTTAACAACAGTTATATGTAATTTATATGTATTCTTTATGTAAAAAAATATAAAAGTAAGTTTTAAGTCCACATAAAATTTATTTTTGCTAAAATATTGTTATTTTTTCCTTCTAGGATTATTTTTATCCAAATTACTTAGGTAAGTTCAAAGGAGCATACTTATATAATCTTAGAGATGGATGCAAACTTATATTTGATCCAGTCCAACCCTCTATTCATGTATTAACTCCAATGTAATTACAATCACCTTGGTAGTAAAACTTTTTCCTATATGCAATTTGTTTTCTATTTAGAGTTGAAGACAAATTTGACATGGCTTCTTAATGATCATGAGCTTTTTTGACATTTATTCTTTTTTTTATTCTTATGTCTTTCTCAGAAAGATTTATGAACTCAATATATAAACATAGTATGTGTTAGTTATACATATAATGTTGAAGATTTTTGTTTTCCTTTATAATTTTTTTTTGGCGGTGACTATACCCAGTTGAACTTGGGTCCACTTCTGGCTCACTGATGCTGGAGATCAAACATGGGGCATCTGCACTCTAGGGTATTTCTCGTGCCATACAACTTTTCTCTTTTTTTTCTTCTCTCCTAACCCCAGTCCTAAGATCTGGAAACAAATTTAAACCTTGTCTTCCTTCTCTTTGTTGGTTTATTTTTGGAGCACACCCAGCGGTACTCATAGTTTACTCCCAGCTCATGCTCAGAGATCACTCCTGGTGGTCTTGGGAGGTAGGGGGGCATCTTTGGTGCCAGGAATTGAACCTGGATTAGTCATGTGCAAGGCAAACGCTCAGTCTTATATTATCTCTCTGGTCTACCATAAAGCCTTTTCTTATAACAACAATAACATTGTACCTGACTCACATTCCAAAGCTAACACAAAGCTAAAACTCACAATGCTAAAACTCACATCTCAAAGCTAAACAACTATTTAATGTTAAAGTGCAGAAGTTGGTACACCAATATTTACTTTTAAAGTGGAGAGGGGGGCTAAAGAGGTAGGGCAGAGGTTAAGACACCACCATTGCCTGTGGCCAACCCTAGTTCAATGCCTGGCACAGCATATGGTCCCCTAAACACAGCCAGGACTGATCCCTGAACACAAATTCAGGGTAAACCCTAAGCATCCCTGGTTGTGGCTCAACCCCAACTCTATCAAAAAGCGTAAAGAAGATTGAACGTCATAACTATCACAGTTTCTCAATGCTAAGTAGGAATTTAAGTATTTTATAATATAAATGAGATATTTTTTAGTCAATAAAATTTATAAACTTGCTTTAAAATTGAATTTAGCCTGTGTTTCTTAAAGTCGTGGAATGAAGGCTGTGTTTACAGGTATCAGCTTTCCAGAAGATACATACTTTCAGTCACAGAATATGTTTGAATAGAAATAATGAATATTTTAGTACAATATTAATGTCATGGAGAAGTTTTATAGATAAAATATATTTATTTTTCCTCCCCTTATCCCTATCAACTTCCTTTACTTAACTCTATTTAGATTGTCTTTTCTTTGCCTATCTTATTTGGCAGTAAAAACCCCATAAAAACCCACAAAAAACCTGGCAGATGTAAAAAAATAAAAAAACAAAACAGTCAGAATATTTGTACTTTGTTAGTATAAGCGAATTATTTTACTTTTCATGTTTTGTATTAAAATGAGCACTATACTTTCTGACTTTAGAGTGTTTTGGAATTTCATATAAGCATGTATATGTTTTTAGATTTTTAAAACAGCATCAAACTTACTTTAAACACAAAGTATTATTATTTTACTGACTCGTTATAAAACAAAAATAGACTATTATTTATTGTTATTTTATTTATTGGAAGGGGGTTGATACCCAGCTGCACTCAGGGCTTACTCCTGGCTCTGCACTCAGGGATCACTTCCGGCGAGACTCCGGGGACCATACAATGGTACTGAGGGTTGAACTGAACCCATGTTAGCTGTATGCAAGACTGATACTCTATCCACTGTACTACTGCTCTAGCCTAATACTAATTTTTTTATTCAGATTTTGTATTTTGATCTTTACTTTTATGTAGACATATGCAGTGAACTCTGCTGTTGACAATAAAAAAGAAGCACTTTGCCTAAACTAAACTTTTCTGACATTTGATGTATATATTTTATACAGGTCAGTGATTCCATTTAGAAAAAAAAACACATTGTAATTCTGTCTGTAAACATAAGAGTACTTCTGTTAATGACTACAGCATAAGCAGGGAGTTCCATACATTGAAACGAGAATTACTACACTCTTCCATAGGTTTTGGATAGTGTTTAGATTTATGATTCCAGGAATTTGGAGATTACTTCAGTCTATCTCTTAATTCCGTGTACATTTCTGAAAACATGAAATTTTGACAAAAAAGGGAATCTGGATTTTATTATATAAATATGTTTTTATGCAATTTTGTTTTCATTGAAAAACAATAAATATATCTATGTCTTATATAAACCCTTATGATATTGTTTGATAGAATGGGTGATTATATCAATGGGAGAGGTATTTCTTGGGAGGTATATTAAATTTTCTGCCTAAATAGAAGTATTGGAAGTAACTATTAGTATGTAGCACTTGATAAATTGTCATAGCTTAGACTGCTGACTTAAAATAATCTCAAGTGCAACAATAACATTCTTAAAATTATCTCAAGTGCAACAATAATATTCTAGGCACTATTAATAGCAAAATAAAATGAAAAAAAAATATGAGCAATCCTGATAGCCTAAAGGCTGAATTGGCCTAGTATGTGTGGGAATTGAGGTACTGACTGTGAGACAGCAGTAAGAACTCATATCAGAATAATTGGGAAATGACTTAACCATTAAAATCAAGAAAAAAATTAAAAGAAAGTATAATAAATAATGAAAAATAGGAAATAAAGACCTAGATGGCCATCTTGCATCAATCTTGCCTTGTACATAGCCAGCTCAGGTTCAGTACGTGGCACCACAAATGGTCCCCTGAGCTTGCCAGAAGTGATCCATGAGCACAGGGACTATGTGCTGAGCATCGCCAGTTGTGGCCTCAAAATCCAAATCCTCCCCATAAAAAAAGACATATAAAAATAGGTAGAGTTAAATGTAAAATTTAAAAATTTAAATGCAATTCTATACTTAGTCAAGATTAGTAAATTAGGTTGACCTCTGGTGAGAAGAACAGAACATAAAGGAAAAGCAAAAGAGAAAAAGATGAAATAACAGAATACAAACTGAAAAAGAGGAAATGTTATCAAACTAAATATTTTGTATTTATTTCCATAAAATAGTCATAATAAATTGTTACTGCCCCTGTCCTCCCGTTGTTCATCGAGTTACTCGAGCAGGCCTAGTAATGACTCCATTGTGACACTTTTTACTGTATTTGGCATATCAGATACATCACGGGTAGCTTGCCAGGCTTTGCTGTGTGGGTGAGATACTCTCGGTAGCTTGCTGGGCTCTCCCAGAGGGGTGGAGGAATCAAACCTGGGTCTGCAGAGTCAGCCATGTGCAAGGCAAATGCCCTAATTGCTGTGCTATTGCTTGAAATATACTAATACATTATTTTAAAATACTCATTAAACAACGAATGTAAAATATTATAAACAGCCATATGAAAATAAAATTTGAATCTTAATATGTTTGCATTCTTAGAAAAATATATATCTATAATTTCACAGGAAGGAATACAGAACTTTATTACACAAATAAATACTGAGCCACCTAAAACTTAAATCAAAGCCAGTTTCTGTATCTCACTGAAATTTAGACCAAGGAATTTTTGCAAATTATAAAAAAAATATTAAAGAATACTGAAATTCTAAAACCATTTAGGTTTCATTGTGCCCCTAATATAACCAATATGTTTTAAGGTGTTTTTCCCATGGAAAGGAACTCCTACCTCCCAAGGTAGGCTGACTAATGTGTTTCCTCTGCACCCCAAAGATGTCAATGTTTTTCTGCAGAATCTGTGAATGTTGTGTTGGAAACGGGCTTGTAAGAATAAGTCCAGGAAATTATTCTGGGTCTGTTACTTGAATTCCTTCAATGGTGAGGGTTCTTAAATGAGGAAAGCAGGAAATTAGGGTTGGTAGTAGTTGTTGGGATTGTTATGAGAATGGGTCCATGATCCCAGAGTGCAGAAGGCCTCTCAACGCCAAAAAATGGGAGGAAAAGGGCCAGAAATACATTGTGCATTTGTCTAACATGGTGCTGACTGGGTTTTGATTCCCAGTGTATTATAATGGTCCCTGGAGCACAGCCAGGAGTAATTCCTGAGTGCAGAGCCAGGAGCAACCCCTGAACATCACTAGGTATAGTCCCCTCATACACACAAAAATAATTTAAAAGGCAGAAAAGTTGTATTCTCCATAAAGCCTTTCAAAAGGACCCATGTTTTTCTAACACCTTAGTTTTAGATATCAATATAAGCATATTGATGTAACAATAGCAATACAACATCTTTTGGTTCTTTTTGGTCACTGTGATTGTGATAACTTTTCAGAGCATCTTAGGACTAATCCACAAATAAGCCTTTCAGTAGTAAATTGAGTATTCTAATAGACAAATAGAACTAATACACAAGAAAGCCCTTTCAGTAGTAAATTGAATCTTCCTTCCAAAGATGGTTGCCAGCACATTTCTCATCCCCTCTTCTGCAGTATCAACTGCTGTTCCCCATCACTATGGAATATGTCTGTTTGTTTGTTTGTTTTTAATTTTTATTAGTGAAACACCATGAGGTACAGTTGTAGACTTACAAATTTTTGTGCTTGGGTTTCAGTTATACAGTGATTGAGTACCCATTCCTCCACCAGTTGAAATATGTTTTCTACCCTCTTCTTCACTTGAATTGGGTGAACACTGGGCTGCTTTGATCAACAGAATACTATGGGAGTGATAAAATGCCTTCTTGTGGCTAGGCTGTTTCTGCTCTCTTCCTTTTGAAAGTGAGTTGCCCTGAAAGAAGAGCCTAATTTGAAACCAGTAAGAGAAACTCGGTCCAGGGGAAAAACCCAGAGCATGCCATAACTATGTAGGATGACTGGGACTCTGAACAGTGAAGCCTGTGAGAGAAGAACCCGTGGTGGTGGATTCTTCATGCAGCCATCCCAGCTGATCCCACATGAAGAGAGAGAAAGGGTACAAATGAACCCTTTCCCAAAATTTATCTCACAAATCCTGTACCAAATACAATGATCATTTTGAGCTACAAATATTTGGTATTGACTATAAAACCCTGCTCCCGGAAGCATTCGCGGCCGTGCGACATCTTATAGTCTAGTTTTTACTCTGGAGAACCTGGCAGTCTACTAAAAGTATCCTGCCCACACGGTAGAGTCTGGCAAACTCCCCGTGGCATATTCAGTATGCCAAAAACCAGTAACAGTGATAGGTCTCATTCTTCTGACCCTGAAAGAGTCTCGAATGTGGCACTTTTTAAAATCTCAGGGCTAGGATGAAGGAGACGTTACTGGGGTCTGCTTGAGGCAATCGATGAACAACAGGATTACAGTGACAGTGATATAGTGACATATAACATAACCAAAACAGCATCTTTTCAGTATGTTGCTCTGATAGTGAACTAATTTATATCTCAACTCTAGCTCTTATCTATATCTGTATAATGACATCACAGTGGTATCTATTCAGAAAAGTTTTGCTGCTAGTATTCAGTGAAGGCTAGTTTTTAAAGACCCCTGGTATTTTATCTTTACTGTTTTAGTTGTCATTTCCACCAGATTGCTATGTCAGATGTCACAGTGTAGGATGCAAAATAAAATAAAGTCAAGCTACTGTATATTATTGAGACATTAGGAAAATAATATTACATTATTATCTATGAAGCAGTATAAGAATGTAACTTGCCTACAGCAACAAGAAACACTAACTCATTCTTTTGACTTAATTATAGGTACTTTCTGAGAGCATGCACTATTTTACAGACTTGAGATTACTTTAGATCTCTCCTGCAGAACTAACATAGATAAGCATGACCACAAATTTCTCTGCTATTTCCAGATGTTTTTCATTTCTGGCTTTGTATTTATTCTCCAAAGAGAAGAAGCTTCCATAACATTTTTCACAATACTGCATTGATTAAAGTTTTTCTTGTGGAGTTTTAATTTTTCAAAAAGGTTGATGGATGCATTAATGATTGATAGGTTAAATGCTGAATCCTGTACAGCCTCAAGATCTAAACTAGTCTTTTTCTCTTGATAATAGCTACCATTATTTCTAGTAAAATTAAATGTGACTATTCTAAAAATTACCTTTGTTTGTATTTGCAGTTTGTCTTGGCTCCTTCAGAGCTGGATTGTCCAACAAAGAACTTTCGAAAAAAGCTGTTGCTACTGAACTAAGGAACTGTGTCAATGGTAATCCTATCAACCATGGAGTTAAAAAAAAATAAAATGACCTGGTTTTCCAAATTACAATGGACAAAAGTGGTCAGATTTGTTGGCTGCACGTAGTGGGATATAAGTCACTGGCTCTATGTAAAAATTTTTTTCTGATGAATTCATATTGTGAATAATACTGAGTTGAATATATTTTGGTTCTAGATTTTTGTATTTTGGCTAAAATGAACTCAACTCATAGATGATCTAATTGATTTTTATATGACTCATTAAGAGGATTCTAAAGACACAACTGAAAAATAACCTAGTTTTAGATGAAAATATCTGACTGAATAAATAAGCATAGTTATATTATTTTTCATTTTTATAAAGATAAGGGATAGTAAACATGCGTGTGCATTGTTATGTCGTATGTTTGTTTTGCTTTTGTTTTGGGACCACACATGGGAGTGCTCAATCTTTACTTCTGGTTCTCTTCTCAGAGATCACCCCTAGTGAGCTCTGGGCTCCCCATGGGTTGCCAGGGATTAAACTGACTGTGTGCAAGGCGAGTGCCCTTTTCACTGTACTATCACTCCAGCTCCCTATTATGTCATGTGAACTGTGGACTCTAGTTTGTGAAATTACTTTGTTTGCATAAAAACAAAACACAGGTGAGGTGTGCAAGTAAAGTATGCAGTTGTTTAAAACTCCATGAATAAGCCATTTATGGCTTGCAACTCAACAAAGAGGTTTTCTTAAAAATCATATTTGAAAGATCAGTTTTCAGATGCAAATGCTGTTGTTTTACTCGAGGAATTTTTTAACTGGCACTCAAATTGTTTTATTTATTTTTTTAAATTAAGCTAATCATTATAGACTTCAGAATTTTAATTTTAGCAGTTTTATTTTGGCTGTTCTTGCATGTCCATGTAGTATGACCAAATGTCGGTTGAATAATAGTTCATAATATTACCTTGTATATTCTCCTTTTGGGATCTACAAGTGGAAAATGTTATACTGACAGTGCTCAGAACTTACTCCTGGCTTTGAATTCTGAGGTCACTTCTTGCGGGCTCAGGGGAACATGTTGGGTGCTGGGGTTCAAACCCAGGTCAACCATATGCAGGAAAATGCCCTAACTGCTGCACAGTTGCTCCCTCCAATTCTATTATTTAATAATTAATTTTTGTTTTTTGGGTCACACCTGGTGATGCTCAGGGGTTACTCCCGGTTCTGCACACAGGAATTACTTCTTGTAGTTCCTAGGGTACGATATGGGTTATAGGGGATTGAACCCGTTCCACCACATATAAGGCAAGCATCTACATGCTATATTATCGCTCTGCCCCCCACAATTTTTTTTTGCTTTTGGGTCACACCCGGCGATGTGCAGGGCTTACTCCTGACTCTGCACTCAGGAATTACTCCTGGTGGTGCTTGGGGAACCATATGGGATGCTGCGAATCGAACCTGGGTCAGCCACGCACAAGGCAAATGCCCTACCTACTGTGCTATCGCTCCAACCCCCCCATTCTATTTTTTAAACAGAAAAATTATTTACCATATCTAGGAAATGATGAACTTTCACTGTGTCTAGTGGGAGGAGAGAGAGACCACAAATAAATATCAGCTTAAAGTGTCTATGACATTTTGTGAAGAAAGTTTTCTCTTTTAGTAAATACTGCTACCATTTGTCCTTTCTTAAAACCTTTGTTCCATCTATGTGACCAGAGGTCTTATTTATTTAAAATCAGGAGGACAAACATGATGCCTGTTAAATATTTTGCCCAAATTGGAAGCCCTAACTTCTGTTTTTCTGCTTAAACTGATAGTTTCAATAGTATTATTTTTGTTGCCTATGTCATGGAATGTTTTTAGGATCCAGTGAGGAAATATGTGTAAATAGAAGTCTGTTACAATTAAAACCACTATTCATGCTTGCGAGTATAAAAGTAGTTTGTTTTTGTAAAATAATTATAATGGTTTATCGAATGAATTCACCTTTTCAATGAAAAAGTATTGTTTGCCGGAAGGAACTTAATTTTTTTTATTAATTATAATGCTTCAGCACAGGATTTACATTAGAGGGGTTATAATTCCATTTTATTTCTGGCATGTGGTAAGAACTAGATTTCTATTTGCTTCAGCCATTCCTGACCAGTGCAATCCAATGCCGTGCAGTGAAGATGGATATATGAAGTGCAAAGATGGCTTAGCTACATTCACTTGCATTTGTAAGCCTGGCTGGCAAGGAGAGCTGTGTGACTTTGGTATGTTTTCTAAGCTCACTTGAGTCATTTGGATGGGCCTTGGGAAAAGTTATCTGAAGTCTAAATACTATCTAATTGATTCCCCCTTTTAGATATAAATGAATGCAAAGATCCCTCAAATATCAATGGAGGTTGTGAACAGATTTGTGATAATACACCTGGAAGTTACCAATGTTCCTGTAGAAGTGGTTTTCTTATGCTTTCAAATCAAAAAGGATGTAGAGGTAAGAACAAGAAGCTATAATTAAAAGGGTCTTTAGTGAGTGAGATCAAAATTTAGTTTTAGGAATTTTCCCAGGAATGTTTCGGGGCCTCACCCAGCTGTGTTTAGGTCTTATTTTTAATGATCACTCCTGGAGGGGCAAAAGGGACCATATGGGGTGCCAGGGATCTAATCTAACTGAGTCACATGCAAGGCAGTGCCCTATCCACTGTACTATCTGTATAGCCCTTCCAAAAATTTCTTGAAATTTTTTCTAATATAGAGGGAATAGGCCAACTTCTGCCCTGACAAAAGATAGACCAACTCCTGCTCCAACAGCTCTTCCCACACCCCAAAGGCCCCACCACACCTCTGGCTGGACTGCCCAGCTAAATATTCTGGATTTTCTGAACATCTCCAAACTCCATTCCAGTAGTAGCACACCAGATTAAATGGGATGTAACATAGAAGCCACAATCTTGACTAACAAAAATATTAACACAGAAGACTTTCCTCCTAACAACAGCTAAGTAAACCCTCAGACAAGGACTTAATGTCTCATGATCAGATACAATAATTTTCACAAAATTTTTTTGTATGTAAATATTGCTTGACCATTGCATTAGCCAGTTAGTGGTAACAAGCAGTATAAAATAAATTATTGTGGGCCTGCTACATGGGCGGGCTTGAGGTGTGGTTGGCGAAATGGAGACAATGCTAGAGGGACGTGACAGTGGTGGTGGAATATTGAATGCCTGTAACAAACCATCATGAACAACTTTGTGAACCAAGGTGTTTAAAGAAAGTGAGAGAAAAATTTTCTAGTCTAAGTGCTTATGATAAATGTATATTATTATCCATCTTAATTCATCATGAAAGTGCATTTTTACTTCCTTATAATTTTGCCACTTAAAGAATATTTTATTGATTTCTTATTGCTTTTTTTATTATTTGTAGACATTCTGTTATTTTGTGCATGTGCATCTACATGTGCACATGAAATTATTTCGTTATGTAGTGACTAGTCGAGTTTCAACGCATGTAATAGTCTTTGCAAAATTATTGTTTATACTTTTCTCAGGTAATAATATTACTTTGTTTATGTCAATGAGATAAGCATCTGCATAAAGAAATTCAACAGCATCCTTAAAAACTTTTTCCACTGCATTTTATGTTTCCTTATCAGAAATACCTTTCCAATCTCTAATATAAAATCTTTCATCTTCTGCCTCATCCTGTTGTGGTCTTGGGAGAAATAAAAATCTGGTTTTCCTTCTCTTTATGCTTTTAAGATTACTTTCTTGGTCATAACTTATTTTTTTCTTGATATTGAATTAATCCCTATTACTATAATTTTTTGACATGTCATTTTACTAGTGTATTTCTTTTGTTTTTCTTTAGCTTTCCAGTTCAACCCAATTTCAACATTCTTACTTTAGATAATGTTCTTAGTATTTGATGTTTGATATTACGCCAGAGTCTGGCAAACTCCCTGTGGCGTATTCAATATGCCAAAAACCAGTAACAATGATGATGGGTCTCATTCTCCTGACCCTGAAAGAGCCTCGACTGTGACACTTTCTAAAATCTCAGGGCTAGGACGAAAGAGACGTTACTGGTGCCTGCTCGAGGGAATCGATGAACAACAGGATGACAGTGATACAGTATTTGATAACTTCAGCTGTCATATCAATATCTTCAAATATTCACATTGACTTTATGCTTGGCTTAAAAACGAAATATCACAGTTTAAGTTTTACTTCTCTTAAAACTGGGGCATGTTTTTCATTCTTTTTTTTTCTCTCCCATTCTCCTCTCCCTCCTTCTCTCTCCACCTAGTCCCTATTTTCTTACCCTTATCCTTTTCCCTTTTCTTTTCTTAATCCCCATTTCTCCTCTTTCAAATTCTATTCCTCCACCTCCACCTCCTTATTCAGCCCCTCCTGTTTTTTTTTTCTTCTCAATATCTTCTTCATCTTGCTTTTTTCTTTTTTTGGCTTTTTGGGTCACACCTGGCGATGCACAGGGGTTACTCCTGGCTCCGCACTCAGGAATCACTCCCAGTAGTAGCTCAGGGGACCATATGAGATACTGGGAATCGAACCTGGGTTGGCCACTTACAAGGCAAACTCCCTACCCACTGTGCTATCGCTCCAGCCCCTCTTCTTCATCTTACTAGGAGGTAGAAACAATTTTAAGTTCAAGTATAAAGTTTTGCCTAATTCTATTCATTTGGTAAAGCTACAAATGTAATTTATATTCAAATAATGGGCTGTCCACAGCATTCTAGTGTTTATTATGGTTTACTATAATGTTATTTAAAATGGTGCTATAATACTCTAAAATAAAGTGTATTAACTGTCAATTTTTTTTCTAAATCATTGTCCATTTTGCAATCGTGTTTCTTTCTTACTTGCCTATTTGAAAGTTTAACATTAAAAATTTAGAATATGGGATGTTAATGAAACTTTGATGGTGTGATGAGTCTTGCATGCAAATAGAGGTGAAAATTGTACTTCAAAAATTCTATAGTATTTTAAACAAATGATAAAATAATAAAACTACGAGAAACCAAATTATTAGACCTCTAGTTAGTAAAAACTTTAAGAATACAGGGTATTTTTTTACATTCCGTAAGCAAATAATATTCTGCATGCTCTTTTAAACATTAAATATTTTGTCTTAAAACATTTGTGACTATGTTATTAATTAAAATGTAGTCTTAGGTGCTGGAAAACTAGTAGAGTGAATCGGAGCTTGACTTGCATGTGGCCAGCTATGTTAGTTCCCCGGCATTCTGTAGTATCCATCCCGCAAGATCCTCAAGGAGTAATCCCTAAGCACAGAGCCAGGAGTGAGTCCTGAGCATTGCTGGGTATAGCCCTAAAACCAAACTCTCCCCTCCATAAAAGTGGTCTTTACCAATTGAGTGAGTATAGTATATAAATGATAACAAATGTTTTTTTATAAATGTGAATGCCACAGATGACTAGAACATAGATTTTTATGTGTTTATTTATAAAATCCTTATCCATAAAGTCTTAGTGTTAGAGTACAGAACTATTAGAAGAATATGTGTACAACTGTCACTATCGGGCCTTTGCCAAGATGTCATTGTGTTTGGATTCATTTTGCCAGTAAATTTCTTAAAAAGTAAGAATGGACCTTTTCATTAGAGTTGTAAATCAAAGTGCTATAACCTAAACTCATATGATTTTAATAGTTCCCTCAATATGCCACAAATGAATTATTTTTAGTCCTATGACATTTTTTAAATAATGAAATATTTTGAGGTAATAATTATTTCACTAAATTGTAAACGATAAAAGCAATTTTTTAGTTTCTGTACCCTATGCCCAATTTATTCACTTTATAAAACTATGGTAGTATGTCACACCCAGGATAATGACATATATATATATATATATATATATATATAGTCAAGATCAGAAATATTTCTTTATTACTTGAGTTTGGTTGCATTCGTTTGGGGGGGGTGCAGGGTGTGCTTATTAGGCTGTGGAAAACTCTTTGTTTTTTTCTTTTTTTGCTTTGTTTTGGGTCACACCTGGCGATGCATAAGGGTTACTCCTGGCTTTGCAATGAGCAATTACTCCTGGCAGTGCTCAGGCGACCCTATGGGATGTTGGGAATTGAACCCAGGTCATCTGCGTGCAAGGCAAACACCCTACTTGCTGTACTATTGCTCCAGCCCAGCTGTGGACATCTTTTAACTTTTTAAAATAGAAGATCCATTTTCTATTGTTTTGGGGAGAGTGCTCTTAAGTAGTGTTCAGAAGGCTCAGACACAACTCCGAAAGCTACTCCAGCAGCCTACCCGAGGTTTAGTGCCAGGCACTGAGTATGCAGCACTGACAGCTGACCCTGGTAGTACTTAGAGCACCATGGAGTCCTAGGACTTGTGTGTCTTTTTGTTTGTTTGTTTGCTTTGATTTTGTTTGGGGGGCCACACCCAGCAGTGTTTAGAGATTGCTCCTGGTTCTGCAGTCAGGGATTACTCCTGATGGGGCTCAAGGGAACATATGTGATACCGGGGATCAAACCTGAGTCAGCCACGTGCTGAGCAAGCACTCTATTTACCGTATTAGCTCTTCAGCTCCATAATAGTCCCAGGATTGAACCTAGTTCCTGGACATGCAAAGCTTGCACAGCTAACCATTGGCCTATCTCTCTGACCTTAATTTTCTATTCTTCGCTTGCCTTATTCTGAGAGTACAAATAGAAAATTTTACTGGTAATTTCAATTTTCTCTGAACTATTTCTCTCACAGGTGCTTATGTAGTAATCAGTTGCAATGAATATTTTGTTTCTTGTCTCCTATATAAAATTCTGGAATGGTAACTTAGAGCTGAAAGGTCTTTTCTATTAGCTTCAGCTTTATAAATATGTTGACACTTTACTCAGTCTCACATTAAATTGATTTATTTTAGGCAATAATGAAAGAATGAAGATCTAGCTGTTGTCCATTTTCAAGGAGAAAGGAAAGTCTTATGAGCCATCTCATTCTTATTTATTTATATCTGTGATAATTAAGTTTTAATCTTCATTTGAAACTTTATTTCATAAACTTCTATTAATAATATGGTCATTTATTATATATTATACTCTAGTAGATAAAAGAATGACTAAAACCTGTTTTTTCATAAACACAAGGAATATGGTAAATGTTAATCAAATTCCTTATGCCTTTTATAAAGAAATAATATTTAGTGAAGTAAACTACAATGATAGATTTAATATTTTGTAATTCCAAGGTTACTTTGTTGTCTTATTACATAAACTAGATCCAGGAAACACAAATCAAGGGTTCTTTGCTAGCATCTTCTGGCATGAGAAAAATGCTCTTTAATATATTGGTTTCCTTTATAGATGTGGATGAATGCTTTTTAAAGCCAGACATTTGTGGCACAGCTGTGTGCAGAAACTTCCCAGGAGGCTTCGAATGTGAATGTGCTGAAGGCTACAGATACAGTCCCAAATCAAAAACGTGTGAAGGTAGAGTTTTGATGATATAATTGTTGATGGTTAAGAGAGTATTTTTGAAACCTGATTCCATATTAAAAGCACTGTTTTTGTTTGAGATGAACAATCCTATTTTTGAAGATGGCAAAGTCTGTGGTATGGCTCAGCCAATGGGGTAATCATTGGCTTCTTTTCAGAGGAAAGATATGTGAGACACATGATCCTCAGGCTTAATATTATGCACTTCTAGTCTCCCCTAACCTATATATGCATGATAAAAGCAAAATAACCACATAGTCACAACGTTTAAACAAAACTCACAGATAGAAGAGAATTACAAGTTGGAAGGAGAAGGACAGTATGGAAAATATAGATAGTATAAAAGTCATGGGGGTGGTATAATGTTGGTGGTTAGAAACCTAAGGTTTTTCTAATAAATTTCTGTCCATATAACACTATGTTATTTGTTATACAGAAAAGAAAGGTCATTTTAAGAACAGATTTAGAATAATTAGCATTATAGGATCTTTATATGTATAATTATTCTGTTATGATGAAATATTTATAAAAAATCTTATAATCAAGTGATAACTAATGAAGCTCCACAAATTTGAGAAATACCATTAATTTAATAATCCCTATGGACTTGGGAGCCATTTGGATTTGTTATTATTTCATTTGATTACAATCATGCTGCTTATAATTTTTTTAATATGTTACAGATTTTTTGGAAAGTAAAATAGCTTTGCTGAAATAAATTTATAGAAATGTGAGGGTGGAGAAAGAGATCTGTGTTTAAGAGAGAATACAAACTTTTCCTGAGTGGAAAAAACTAAGTATATATCCTAAGTATGGATGTATAGGCCATTTTCCCAAAATGGGGAAATGTACCCTAAAGTAAGGAAGTACGTATCTCAGACATATGGGCGCCAAAGAGGCTTCTAGGTTGTTTTTTTTTAAATTTAATCATTAATTACTTTTATATATATATACACACACACACAGTTGTCACATGTATATATGTATATGATATCTCATATATCCTTTAAATTAAAAAGTTTAAAATGCATTCAGTATCATAAAGTGAATTATATCAGGTCTGGAGACAGATTATAATGATAGGTTGCTTGCCTTACATATACAAGACCACAGTTTGATCCTGGCACCATATTACCAGGAGTTATCCCTGTTGGTAGATCCAGGAGTAAGCCCTAAGCATAGCTGATGTAACCCCCAAAACAGAAATGAGTAAAATAAAATAAATCAACAGTAGTTATAATCTACTGTGCAAAATAAATAATCATCCCTTTTTAAACATTTTAGGTGTACGCTTTATCATAAAGCCATTACCATTGTTTCCAAAACTTTTTAATAATCCTAACTAGCAACTCTAAGTATTTAAGCAATAAGTACTCTATACTTCTTCTCCCAAGCCCTGAGATCCTTAAATCTATTTCTGTAGCTGTGTATTTGTTTGAATAAATACTATTTTCAAAATATCTTTAAATATCTTTCGTGTCCTTCTGAAGAATTTGATGCCTTTTTTTCTCTTGCACTCACCAAAACTGATATTGCTTTTCTGTACATCAAATATACTTCGTTGCCAGTAAAAATTACTGGGGTGACCAACCCCAGACCCAACTCTACACCAGATAAGGGTGTGGCAACCTGGTAGGCCTGCCCATATCCCCCCACCAGTCCAGACCCCTATGCCTTTAGCTCCCGTGAGCAAAATGGAGAGTCAGGCTACCACACACCAAACTCAATGAGGAAGCATAGGAAGCCTCCCATATTAATTGGTGACCTCAAAAATTTGGTCAAGGCCCCAAATACTCAAGAGTTCTCAGTTCTCCCTGATGAAGAATTCAAAGTGACAATCACTAGGCTATTCAACTAAACGGAAGATAACAAAACAAGAGAGCTTCAACAAAGAAAAAGAAGGAGAATTGAAAAAAGACAACAGAAGGAATAACAAGCAACTGACTCACAGAAGCAGAGGAATAAATATATCAGTTGGAATCCCTGAAGAACAGGAAGACAAATGTGAAGAAACAGTAGTTAAAGAAATCATCAATAAGAACTTCCCAGAGTTGAGACTTACAGGCACTGAGATCCAAGAGGCCTGAGGGCTAGTCAAAATAGACTCAATGAGGAAAACTCCAGGACCAGTTATACTCAAAATGAAAAAAATCTCTTGAAAGTGGCAAGATCATAAAAGGAATTTACATACAAAGAAAAATCTATAAGATGTGTGGCAGATCTATCAAATGAGACAAGTCAGACGAACATAGATATGGTACAAAAACTCTACAAACAACACCTCACCAAGAACGCTTTATTCAACTGGATTATCATTCATATTTGAAGAAGCTATACAGAACTTCACAGATTGGCAAAATGTTCCTCAGTGAATTAATAGTCTTGAAATGAAATTTTCAAGAAGGTTTAAAAGAACTTCTTTAAAGGACAGGAGAAACTTCCCAACATGTGGCATTAAAATGGTACTCACTAATGGTGTGTATGGCTGTCCTCTACTAAATTAACAAAGATTAAAGTTATATAGCAAATAATCACTGCAAATTTATTTTTGTTGATTTTTCTTCTGATCATTCTATCTGCATTTCTTTAAATTTTGTTGGAGCAATTAATATAAAATAAATTTGTTATATGCTTGCCAACTGTGTGGTCTAGGGGATGAGAGGGACCAGGACTCTGAGGTCACTGGTAGTGGGATTGGTGTTCCAATATTGTATACATGAAATAATTCTATTACAAACTATTATAAACAGCTTTGTAAATCATGGTTTCTTTTTTTTTTTAACTTCCTCTTTTTTTTTTTGCTTTTTGGGTCATACTCGGTGATGTACAGGGGTTACTCCTGGCTTTGCACCCAGTAATTACTCCTGGCAGTGCTCATAGGACCATATCCATATGGGATGCTGTGTATCAAACCTGGGTCAGCCGCATGCAAGGCAAATGTCCTACCCGCTATACTATTGCTCCAGCCCCAATCATGGCTTCTTAATTAAAATTAAATTTAAGAAAAAAATTTAAATAAAGAAAACATCAGAGATTTATGAAGCAGCCACCAAAGATACAATATCTGAATTATAGAATTTCCAGAAGTAATGAAAGAAGAAAATGTAGAATCAGTTTTTGTAGAGTTTCCCCAACCTGATGATCAACCTATATACTCAGGACCAGAGAGCCCAAATAGTCCCAAACAGAATCAACCTAAACAGAAAGTCATCAAGCACTGTAGCTCTGTAGCACTGTCCTGTTGAACAATTTGCTCGAGTGGGCACCAGTAATGTCTCTATAGAGAGACTTGTTGCTACTGTTTTGGGCATATGAATATGCCTCAGGGAGCTTGCCAGGCTCTGCCATGTGGGCGGGATACTCTCGGTAGCTTGCCGGGCTCTCAAAGAGGGATGGAGGAATCAAACCCGGGTCAGCCACCTGCAAGGAAAACGCCCTACCTGCTGTGCTATCACTTCAGCCCATATGATAATTAAAATGTCTACAGCCAAAGATAGAAATAGAATCCTAAGAGCAGCAAGAACAAAACAAAACACTACGAAAGAACCTCTTTGAAATTTGCTAACTGCTAGGAGTAAATTGTGTGATATTAATTCAGTAAGTGAATTAGGCATTTAAACAAGAATACTCTATTCACTTAGATTATCATTCAAGTTTGAAGGAGTGGCACAGACTTCACTGACAAACAGCAGCTGAAGTTGTTCATGAACACTAAAACAGTGTTCAGGATAAACTGAAGAAACTTTCATCAATGGTAAATAAAGTCTTAATGAAGACTTTTATTTTTTAGCACTGTCCTCCCATTGTTCATGGATTTGCTTGAGCGGGCCCAGTAACATCTTCATTGTGAGACTTGTTACTGTGTTTGGTATATCGAATACGTCACGGGGAGCTTGTCAGGCTTTTCCATGTGGGCGAGATACTCTCGGTAGCTTGGGGCTCTCTGAGAGGGGCGGAGGAATCGAACCTGGGTCGACCAGGTCAGCCGTGTAAAAGGCAAACGTCCTACCACCGTGCTATTGCTCCAGCCCAATGAAGACTACATGAAGATTAAGAATCAAGATAAACATGGTTATGATTCACTTAATTTCAGTAATTTAATTAAATGTCAGTGGCCTTTTTTCACCAATTGAAGGACATAGACTTTTGTCTACACTATTTTTGATTTGCCAAAAAAACTAAAGGGTTTGGGGGTCAGTCAAACAAAAGAGCTGAAATATTAGTGAAAATTGAAATTCACTTTGAAAATAAATAGAAGACACAGAACACCAGAACATATTCCTTATTCACAAATTGATAAGATCAACAATGTCAGAATATCCATAATTCCCACAGTGGTTTTACAGATGCAACTCAATCATCAAAATTCTTGTGGCATTCTTTAAGGAAATTTAAAAAAAGCATATAATTCATATGAAATCTTGAAACTACCCCAATATTCAAAAAATCCTGAGGAAAAAAATTGGGAAGCATTAGATTTACAGATTTTAATTTTTACTTTGTTTTGGGGACCATACACACCTGTGCTCAGGGCTTGCTCATGGTCCTGTACTTGGGGATCACTCCAGGTGAAATCAGGGAACCATACAGGATGACAGGATTAAACTTGGATTGGCTGCATGCAAGGCAAGAGCTTTACCTGCTGTGCTGTCTCTCCAGTACGCAAAGCTGTTGTAATTAAAAAAAAAATGTAAGTACTGGAACAAAGACAGATTCTCAGACAAGTGGAACAGAATTGAAATTCCAGAGATAAATACTCGAATGTGTGAGCAGTTTAAAGTGAATCAAGAAGAGCTTCTTCAACAAATGAAAAAGTGGTTAGCCATATGCACAAAATAGAATTTAGACCCAAGTCATGCTCTACAAAAATATCAATAAGAATGAATTAAAGACCAATATTTAGTGTGTCTCCATAAAATTCATTAAAGTAAATGACAGGACTTTCTTGTCTCTCATTGACAAGAAAACAAAAGCAGAAAGAAACAGACCTGCATCAAATGAAAAAGTTTCTGCACTTTAAAAGAAAAGAGACCTTAAATAAAAAGACACCTTACTGATGGAGAAAATATTTGCAAATCATACTTCAGGCAATGGACTAATATCTGAAATCATGAAGCACTCTCAAGCTTAACAATTTAACAGACAGTTCAACTCATTAAAAATGAGAAGAGAAGATGAATAGACATTTTCTCAAAGGAAACATAACAATGACTGATAGACACATGGAAAATGTGTCATAATCACTTATTATTGAGGAAATAAAACCAAAATGAAAATGAGACATCAACTCACACCAGTGAAAATGGGCTCTGTGAGAAAGATTGGAAACAATAAGTGCTAGTGAATGATGTAAAAAAGAAACCCTCATTTACTGTTTGTGTGATTGTTTGATGCGTCATCATCTCTGGAAAACAGTTTGGAGACTTCTCAAACATGTAAAACAGAATTTTCATATGATCCTGCTATTTCATTTGTAGGAATCTACATAAAGGACACAAAAACATTGATTCAAAAAGTTATATGCACACCTTTGTTTATGTCAGCACGACTTACTACTGTCAAGATCTGGAAACCATCCAAATACTCAACAATAGATTGGTGGATAAAGATGATGAAGTTGTGGTGTACACACACACACACACACACACACACACACACGTGCGAATACTATTCAGCAAAGAGAAAAGATGAAATTCTGCAAGTTGGATGGAATTGGAGAGTATTATGCTAAGTGGAGTGATTTGAAAATGAAAGATGAGTAGCAAATGATCTCATTCATATATAGAGCTTAAATAAACACTTGTAGCTCATTTAAATTTCTTGCTAAGTATTGAAATGCAATTTGATGTCATAGGAATATCTTTTATATGATCTATTTATTAAATTTTCTCATGAAAATTAATTATTACTTCCATCAGATTGAACATTTAGGGATATTAAGGTTTATGTTCTCTTTTATCCCAGATGTGGATGAATGCTCAGAGAACATATGTTCTCAACTATGCGTCAATTATCCAGGAAGTTACTCTTGTTCTTGTGATGGGAAGAAAGGATTCAAACTTGCTCAAGATCAGAAGAGTTGTGAGGTAACACTTCACAGTGCTAAACTTCCAATCTCTTTTCTAAAGTAAGAGACCCAGGTACTTTTTCCACATACTTGATGCTCATCAGGAAAATACAGATATTTTACTAAAACTGCTTTTGATTTAAGTAGCCTAATTGTCACAATTATTGACTGTGACCCTGTAAATCATAAACATAAAGTACTTTATGTCTAGGTTAAAAACAAAAAACAGAAGACTTCATGTGAAATCAAGAGTTCAGAACTCAGCTTTGTGTAGTCTGTAGGTTTAAAAATTGTAAGGTGTACCTTTAAGATGTAAGAAATCTTCCATAGAAACTTTAGTAAACACATTTTCTAGTAACTGCTCTCTTTATTCTACTCTGACAAGTTTGATCATGCCTTTGGTACTTGCATGAGTGCTCATTAAATAGTCATAAACTAACGTTATCTCAAGTAAACAAACCCCAACAAACTAATCTTAGGAGAAAACATCTCTCAGAGTCTTAGTTGAATTAAAATTGCAGTTTGCAGAGAGTCAAGTTTGTGCCTGTATTTCCCAAATATAATTATTTGCTCAGATTTAATTCATAATTGATGCGGAAATGGAATGTCGGGTATACGTTTTTGTTTTTCCTTTATCAAGAGGTCTACATCTGAAGCTGATCCTCTCCTCCCGAAGAAAAGATCACATGTTTGTGGTCCTTAGTTCAATATTTGCATCACTTTTATTTTTTACAAGTGAACGTGAGATTTTATGAAATCATGAAACAGACTTAAAAATACCTAAATAGCAATTTAATGGTGTATACAAAAATCTTAAATGTAGCATTCCATATTACATTACCTTCTTAATAAGTAGAGGAAACCAGTTAGCATAGCAGTAATTTTTATAGTTCCTAATTAAAATGCCATGCTGATTAAATGTTTATTTTGTGAATTAGTTCCATAGTATTTTAGTATTTGTCGTAGTTACACAACACCGACTACCTCTAAATATATTTACTGAAATTATAAGAGGAAATGAGAAGTTTTTTATGGACCTAGAAAATATCACTATGCAAATGGACTTATTAAAATGTCACTATGTATGCAAACTTCCTATCTACTTAAGAAAAGTCTTTTTTTTTTTTGCTTTTTGGGTTACATCCGGCGATGCATAGGGGTTACTCTTGGCTCTGCACTCAGGAGTTACTCCTGGTGGTGCTCAGGGGACCATATGGGATGCTGGGAATTGAACCCGGGTCGGCCGCGTGCAAAGAAAACGCACTACCCGCTGTGTTATCTCTCCAGTTCCCTATCTACTTAAGAAAAGTCTTTAAATTTATTTTTAAATTTTATTTTAGTACTTATGATCTACAGTATTGATAATGACAGGGTTTCATGGAAAAGAAAAAAGAACAAAAACCCACAAACACCACATCTTCAACAGAATGTTTCCTTCACTATTTCCCAGCGTCATTCCTTCTCACCTCAGCCATCCTGTCCCTTCTTATCCATTCTGAGTGATATGCTTCTTTTAAAGACTAGTTCTCAGGGCTGGAGTGATAGTACAGAGTTCAGGGCGCTTGCCTTGCACATGGCCGACCCAGATTTGATTCCCAGCATCCCATATGGTCCCCCGAGTACCGCCAGGAGTAATTCCTGAGTTGCATGAGCCAGGAGTAACCCCTGTGCATCACTGGGTGTGACCCAAAAAGAAAAAAAAATTAAAGACAAGTTCTCAGTTTTTGATGCTTTTGAGAATTTTTTGTTTCTTTACTATGTTACTTTATATTCCACAGATGAAGGAGGTCATCCTGTAACTATCCTTCTGACTAAATTCACACAAGTTTTCTATTTTAACATTCATCTTTAGTCTTAGAAAAAAATAAATATCTAATTTACTGACACTAAATTATTTTGAAGGTAAATGTCTTGGAGACAGAGGTAATTTATAATTAATCCTACCCAGCTTTCCCAGAATTTTCTTTACTTTTTTAACACTTTTCTTATTTTCTGCTCAGAAAAATTTTTGTAATAGATGGATAAGTAAACAACAGAGGTGCTGTTCACTGGTGTATTGAGTCTGCCATCTATTTCTGAATTCAAATAAAAATGGTTCTCATGAAGAGTTGGGGTTTAGGGTGTGGCCGAGATAGGTTAAAAGGAACAGTTCTATGAGTGCTTCATCATAAAAAGTGCAAAAAAACTGAAATAAACATAATATCTTGGGAGGAGTACTAAAAATTCACTGAAAGAAAGAGAACTTATACAGGGATAAGGCTATTGCTTTGCATCTGGCTGACCTGATTTGATCCCCGCAGCACATACGGTCTCCCAGCACATCCATGTGTGTGTCCTGAGCAGAACCAGGAGTGTTTCATGAGGACCACCAGGTGTGGCCCAATCCACTTCCCTCACTCTCCTCCCCTCTGAACAAAAGAAAATTCACTGGGGAATATACCCATTACTGTAGGGAGGCTCAACTCGGAACCACCGAAATGTGGAATGGTTCAGATGTTCAGAGCTTAGGAGCGCTTCCTCTGAGTGGGGAGAAGGAGAAATAGAGACTGGAGGAGAAAAGAGACTGACAAGCTGGTATCAAATATAGAACACCAATCTGAGGTGGGAGGGTGCGGAATGTTAAGCCCGGGACTATGGGTTCCCAAGCGGTGAGATGAAGAGAGAGACTAACTTGATAATGCAAAAGCAGTAGGAGTTTTATTCCAGTATACTGGGGTCAGCTATCTCACCCACAGAGCATTCTCTTGATGGTGACCCCGACTTCAGGCAGCAAGCAGTTTATATAGGGTTTGATTACATAAGCGGTACATGCCTTATTGTTTCAGAAAGAAATCTTAGTTACCAAACAAAGGTGTTTTTGGCAAGTGTCTAGGGTAACAGTGGTCAGGCAATAGTTAAATAGTTCCACTAACAATTTATGGTTTCATATACTACTCATTCTTTTAGTGTTAACAAAAGGCAATTTCTGGGCCATTTTGACTGGGACATAGTGATTGATTGAACCCAGGGACTTTCCTAGGTGGGTAGAGGTTGGCTAGTTACACATTGTTTCATTGCTGGGAAACCGAGATTCTTTCAGTTCCAGGAACTGAACCTGAGGCCTAGTTGATTTTGCTGATTTCTGCCACCTGTCATGGCATCAGTTTCGCCCTTACAGGAACACAAAGGATGTACAGCCCTCCAGCTTTATACCGGCACTCCTGAACTGAAGGAACAGGCTTAGGTTTCCTTGAGCCCGACATGGCCATTCCTGAACCTGGTCCAACAGGGTTACCAACTCAGCTCTGTCTCAAAAGGCTTCTTCACGGAGCTGATGTGCCACCAGCCCTCTGGATAAGTTCATGCTGGAATACTGAGTGCAAAGGTTCTCCACAGAACTCAGTTTTGTATCCAAACTTGCTGAGTCAGTAAAGGGCACTGGGGTTTGTCAAGTTCAACAAAGCATTTGTGGCTACAGCAGTCGCATCCAGGAAAGCCATTCTGGAGGTTAATTCCACACAGCTCAGTTTCAGTCTTGACCCTACTGAATGGGTCCCAACTTTGGCACCACTCTTAAGTGGTCACAGCCTTGGCCCATAACCGTAGGCTCCCAGCTGGTGTACAGTATGAAAACTTTGTAGCTGTAGCCACTCGGAGCTGAAGAAAACTTGTCAGTGTAGGCATGTCAGACCCAGACATAGGTGCCAGCCTAAGATGGAGGACTTTGAGCACAAAGGCCCCACAGAGGCTCGATTTTGTGTGTGCACCTTCCATGACAGAAAGGTTCGCAGAACTGGTGACCCAGTACAGATGCTACAGTGATCAGCAGCCACTCCTGAGGGAGGTGTCATTCCAGAGGCCACAGCAGAGAGCAGATACACCAGGAATCAGCCCACCACCCATCCAGATCTTGGTGTGAAACTTCAGTCCCAGAACTGGTATTAGCAAATTAGGAAGGGAGGAAGGAAGGGAGGAAGGAGGGAAGGAGGGAGGGAGGGAAGGAGGGAGGGAAGGAGGGAGGAAGGAAGGAATCCCATTTTAAATAGTATGCAAATGCTTCACTTCCCTCGAAATCAACTTAACAAGGGATGTGAAAGACTTGTACATTAAAAACTGTAAGTCACCATTGTAAAAAAATATAAGAGGATGCCAGGAAGTAGAACAATGACCCATGTTCATAGATTAAAAGAATTAACACTGCTTAAATTACTCTCACCCGAGGCCTTATAAAAAGTTATTGCAGCCCTCCCCCAGTTATTTATGGTATATGGAATACCAAGGTGAGCCCTAATTTTTATGGACAGTTAATATAAAGGAGCGAGAAAAAAAGGGGTGAAAAAAGTCTTTAACAAATGGTATTGATAAAATTGGGTAGTCATTCGGAAAGAAAGAAGGAAGGGAGGGATATAACGACACTGGCTTCATAACTCACACCTTTCACAAATGCTAATTTAAATTGTGTTGAAAAAAACCTCATGATTCCCCCCAAATCTATAAAATCCAGGGAGGCAGAAATAGAACCCTCAATATTTGAACTTCAGAGGTATCTTAAAAGATTTAAGTCTATTGACAAAGACAGTCATAACAACAACAAAAACACAAATGGAATTAGATCAGATTAAAAAGTTGTTCATGACAAAAGAAATTTGGGCTAAAAACTCGGAAAGTTGCTCCTTTTGAGCCACTAAATACACTAAGTGCTTTGCCACCGATTGTTAAAAAGTTCAGTCCCTTTAAGATTGGGACAGTAGTTCTTTGTGTAACTCTAGCTTGCATATGCAAGACTCTGGATTCAATCTGCAGAATCTGAATTTGTGTGTTTGTTGGCATTGGGGGGCCAACACTAGGGAAGGGGCATTTGGGCCACTCTTGACGGTGCTCAGGATTTACTCCTGGCTCTGTACTCAGGGATTACTTCTGGTGTGCTTGGGGTACCATATGGGGTACAAAGGATCAAATCAGGGATTGCCGCATGCAAGGCAAATCCCCTGCCCAATATGCCAATATCACTCTAGCTCTTAAAAATTAAGCATTAAAAACCTCAAAAAATCACTTTAGGTCATTTAATGTTTCTTACAGTTTTTTTTAAATCACAATCTGATTGACCTGAGCTTTTAAAATGTAGTTAATTTTTAAAAAGCTTCAGAAAACTGTTAAGTTTTTTCATGTTGGATTTGGCCTTTAGTTATAGTTGAACACATTTGTGCGGCTAAATTTTCTTTTCTTTCTGGGTCACACCCGGCGAAGCACAGGGGTTACTCCTGGTTCTGCACTCAGGAATTACTCCTAGCACTGCTTGGGAGACCATATGGGATGCTGGTAATTGAACCCGGGTTGGCCACATGCAAGGCAAACACCCTACCCTCTGTGCTATCACTTCAGCCTCTTGTATGGTTAATTTTGTGTGTCAAAGTGACTGAACTAGATATTTGGTCAAATTTTGAAAATTTCCATAAGGTATTTTTGATATGATCCCTTGATCACTTGATATCCCATTGCTCATTGATTTGCTTGAGCGGGCGTCAGTAACGTCTCCATTCATCCCTGTCATGTGCTAATGTAGCCCAGTGGCGTCTGCTCGCTCCAGGAACATGGAGAGCCTCAAACTATTCATTCAGGGTCTTTATGAAGAAGTCTGTCTGTCTCGTAGGTAGGTGACCATGCGATCTTTTCATGTCCCGTGGAATCCACGGGAATGAGCTCTAGTTCAGCGGTTGACTCCAAATCTCATTACGTGCCCAGCCCATCTGATTTTTGACGCCTTGGCAAAGGAGACAGCGTCCCTGATTATTGATCGTAGACAGAGGTCAGAACTCCGGATTCTTTCTCTCACTTGAGTGAAGCATGATACTTCAAGCAAAGCTCTTTTGATTCCTCTTTGGGAGACCCGAATAGTGTTTTCATCCTGTTGGCGTAGGGCCCAGGTCTCTGAGCCATATGTTAATGCAGGAAGAACAGTGGAATCAAAGAGATGTGCCCGGAGCTGGAGGTTCTTCGTCCTCTTAGCTATTTCTTCGATGCTCTTGAAGGTGTTCCGAGCTGCTCTCTTCCTCCTGCGCAGCTCGGGTGCCAGGTCATTTGTCATGTTGACTTCTTGACCTAGGTACACGTAGCTGTTGCATTCGGAGATGGTCGTTCCATTGAGAGTGAATGGGGCGTCAGGAACGAGGCTGTTTCTCATAAACATTGTCTTCGTAAGATTCAGCTGTAGTCCGACCTTTCCACACTCACGGTCGAAGTCGTCCAGCATTTGTGCTGCTTGGCTAATGTTTGGTGTTATTAGAACAATGTCATCATCAAAGCAGAGGTGGTGTAGTTGCCAACCCTCTTTCTTCACTCCCATTCCTTCCCATTCCAGTCATCGCATGACGTTCTTGAGGGTGGCACTGAAGAGTTTCAGTTAAATGGTATTGCCCTGCTGAACTCCTCTCTTTATATCAATGATCACTTACTTATATGATCCTTATAAATAATATAATTAACATATTTTGAGTAAAACTAATTTCCTCTATAATGTTGGTGAATTCCATCAGTTCAGTTGAAGACCTGCCTGGCATCCCAAACAAGAAGGACTTCTGCAATTGGTTGCCTTTGGACTTAGATTGAACTTAGATTGGACTTAGATAGGCTTTTCAACCCACCCTTTCATATTTTGTATTTACTTCACAATTATGAGAATCCATCCTTTAAATGATGTTTTCCTAGCCACATGCAAAAAGGAAAGTAAAATGAATCTGTATCTGGATTTCACACCATACACAAAAATTCAATAAAAGGAATTTAAATACCTTGAAATAGGACCAGTATTCATAAAGCAGCTTGAGAAAAATTTGGCAGAATCTCCAGGATATGTACTGCAGAGGTGTCTCCAGTGATCAACTCTGTCAACAAAGATAATAAAAACAAAAATAAGCAAATGGAACTACTTCAAACTAAAATGTTTTTGTATGGCAAAACCACCAACAAATCCAAATATAAAATAAGAACTTTAAATAAAAACTTACCCTATTAAGTGAGAGGAAATGTTTGCAAAGGAAATATTTGCGAATATTTGTAAAGGGTCAATTTACAAGATAGATGTGACATTCATGAAACTCAACATCAGAAAGAACAATACAAGAAATGGCTTCACCTGTCTTTCCCTTCCAGCAAGCCACGGAAGGTGGGAGAGTGATACTCAACTTTTTAGGGAGCCAAACAACAACAAAAATGGGAATAGAAGATGAACAGACACTTCAAGAAATGGTCAGATAACCAGTAGGCATATGAAACTGTTCACCATCATTTGTTGACAATGAAATGCAAATCAGAACAACGATAGTATATATCACACCAGTGATAGGGTACCAAAAATACTGAAAACAACCAATGTTGTATGGATCTTTTTTAAAACAAAACAAAACCCCCCCAAAAAAAAAACCACTTATGCTTTGGGCCAGATAAATTGTACAGTGGGTAGGGCACTTACTTTGCAAACAGTGAACCTGAGTTCAATCCCTGGCAGCCCATATTTTCCCCAGAGCTCACAAGAAGTGGTCCCTAAGCATAGAGACAGGCTTAAGCCTTAAGCACCATGTGGTGTAACCCTAAGACCAAAACTTAGAAATAAAAATAAAGCAAACAAAAACAACATTTATGGTTACTGGGAATGTCTTTTAGATCAGTCTATGGAAAACTTTATAGAGATTTCTCAAAACAAAGTAATAATAGGATTTCCAGCAATTCCACTTCTTGGCATATGTCCCCCTCAAATTTAATTCTAAAAGATATATGAATACCTGTGTTCATTGAAGTACTAAGTATAATAGCCAGGATATGGAAAGAAGAGTTCAATAATAAATGTCACTGTCACTGTCCTCCCGTTGTTCATCAATTTGCTCGAGCAGGCCCAGTAACGTCTCCATTGGAGACTTTGTTGTTACTGTGTTTGGCATATCGAATACATCACGAGTAGCTTGCCAGGCTCTGCCGTGCGGGCGAGATACTCTCGGTAGCTTGCCAGGCTCTCCAAGAGGGGCGGAGGAATCGAACTCGGGTCGACCATATTGGATGCATGCAAGGCAAATGCCCTACCCACTGTGCTATCGCTCCAGCCCCAATAATAAATGAATGGATAAATTTTTGATATATCCCTATATATTTATATATGGGATATTACTCATCTATAAGGAAATAGGAAACCTTATACTTCAATACAACTTGATGGAAGTGGAGAATTCCATCCAATTTTGCTTAAGAAGATAATGAGTAAAGTAAGTCAGAAGCAGGACAAATACTCAACGATCTCACTCATTTGTGGTATATACTTGGAATAAAAAAAGGAAACAATAGTAGTACAATAGTACAAAAGTAGTCTTAGGGCTACACCACATGGTACTTAAGGCTTAAGCCTGTCTCTATGCTTAGGGACCACTTCTTGTGAGCTCTGGGGAAAATATGGGCTGCCAGGGATTGAACTCAGGTTCACTGTTTGCAAAGTAAGTGCCCTACCCACTGTACAATTTATCTGGCCCAAAGCATAAGTTTTTTTTTTTTGGTTTTGTTTTGTTTTACATTGCCTCTAATTTTATTCATGGAGCAGAGAATTGCATAATTGAGTAGTATTCCATTGTGCATATATTCTCTATCCACTCAACTGTTCTTGGGCATTTGGATTATTTCCATAACTTTGCTATTATGACTAGCAATGCAAGAAATATAGGAGTATGAATGTTTTCTTCTTTTCCCCAAACAGCGTCTTTGGGTCTCTCGGAGTAGAAGCCAAGAAGTGAAATTTTTATGTCATATTTAAGTTCAGTTCTTAATTTTTTGAGAAATCTTCACATATTTGTCCACATATTCCTGGTGGAGTACCCAAGAAAGTAAAATATGCTCTTTGTTATGATTGAAGATGTTCTTAATTTGTGTGTGTGCGTGTGTGTGTGTGTGTGTGTATGTATTACAGAAGATGCATTTAACAAGAACCTAGAAATTTGAGAAGGTTATATATAATAGCACAAACAGTAAGCAATAACTTATGAATTTTAATGAGATTGTTTCCTTTTTTTATTCCAGGATATTCCAGTATGCCTTTCTTTGAATCTTGAAAAAAATTATGAATTACTTTATCTGGCAGAGCATTTTTCAGCGGTTGTTTTATACTTAAAGTTTCGTTTGCCAGAAACCACCAGGTAAGAAACCAATGGTAATTTCCAGAGGTACTCAGATAAAGACCAAAGGAGTAAAGGAAGTGAAAAGATTTTGAGTGTATTATGCTGTATTATTTATCAGATCATTTAAGTATATCATAAATTAGATGATTTGGGGAACCCAAAAGTTAATTTGGTACTTGAGACATATAATTTTCATGCTAAAAATATTTTTTGTTGATTCTAAGCTGATCTTATGATTATTTTTACCTTATTCTCTACTTTAAGTTTTATAGTGAACTCATTTAAACTAAGAAGGTGAGAAAGTATACTTACTACCTTTGAAAATTGTTATTCTTCTTTAAACATTTTAAAAGCAAAGTAATAAGAAAAAGCTTAGTGTGTTACTTTTATAATATAATTGTATTCATAATTAGTGAGGAAAATTTGAAAAGATTCTTCCAGTAATATTTAAATAAATTCATTACATGATTTTAACTGACTATCTGAATACTTAATATATTCTTGTATCTTGGTGGACTTCAAGAGGGAGTATTGTTTATGTTTCTGAATCTTCTTTGTTTTATCAGAATTCCTCACAGCAATCTATTGTTGGAGCTAGATAAAAGAAAATAGAATTTTGTTGGAATAATGAAAAAGTATTTTGAGACTGATTATAGAGTCCAAAATTTTGAATGTCTTAGTTAATCATAAATATCCAGATTTTATTAGATATGAGTGATCACTAATAATGCAGCCCTCTTTACCAAAATCTTATCATTAAGGAACATTGATACTTATTCTTAGATACACTGATATAATTGTGCGCCTATGTCATTTTCTGCCCCTGAGCCCATATTTTTCTTTTTAACATCTCAGAGTAAGTATTATCTTTTAGTATGTACATTAAAGACAACCCTTCCTTACCATGAGAATACAACAAATCGGAGAGAAAAATCTTAACTACTGTGAACCTTCAGGCACTTGCAAGGGTATTCATTACGTAGAGTCTTTTGATGTTCTAAAATTGAATCAAATAGGCCAAAAACAAAATTAATATTTAATTTTGTTATTCTCTGGTTAAAAGTTTTTATTGAATTATATACATAGAAATGTACACATATCTTAAATGAAAATATGATAAAGTTGCAAAACTGACCACCTGTGTAAACAACACACTAAACAGCTAGTAGTCTAGTCCATTTCTTTTAATTTTCTTTCCTTTTTACAGTGTGTGTGTGTGTGTGTGTGTGTGTGTGTGTGTGTGTGTTTGTGCATGTGCTTGCCTGGCTTGTTTGGGAATTAATGCATGTGCTCTACTTCTAAACTTTATTTCCAGTTCTGGTTCTGTTCTTTTTTTCTTCCCCCTCATCCTTCTCTATTTCCTTCTCTGGTACTGTTCTTTTTTTTCCTTTTTTTAAATTCTCCCTCCCTCCCTAATTCCTCCCTCCTTCTCTTCCTTCCTTCCCTCCTTTCTCTTTTGCTCCAAAATTACTTCATCTCTGTGATGATCAAACACTTTTCCTACCTTAAAGTTAAATTCACTTTCTGTTTTGTACGCTGTTGTATTCTATAAAGAAAATCTGCAGATCGTAGATTAACATGATTTTGCAAGAAAAAGGAAATTATCACTATAATTTATCACTATCCATTATAGGATTCATTTCTGAAAGATAATGAACATGCACAGATTTAGATTTTGGCAGGATAATAAAGCCTTCTGATCAGCAAAATGTGATGATTATGAGATATACTAGAAGTCCTATTCCAGGGCAAGAGAGTTCTTTGAACATATATGTAATATGAATTTAGTGAATTCCTATTATAGTGTTAACTGTCTAACACACTTTTCTGTACATTTAACTTTTTTATATTTTCTTGGAGTTGTGCGACATTATTAATAATCCCTTTAATTTTATTGCTATTATTTGTGAGAATAAGACTGGTATTATTTCTGCTTTATTTGATACTTATAGAAAAACCTGCCTTTTAAAATGAAATTACCTTTATTTTAACTTAACTTCCATGGGGCCAGAGACAAAGGTAGTTAGTAGGGAGCTTGCTTTGTATGTGGCTGACCACAGGTTCTATTACAGGCCAGGCATTGTATATAGTCCCCAAGCTATGCCAGGAATGGCCCAAAGCACAGATCAGGAGTAAGCCCTGAGAACCAATATTATAGTCCTATAACATACAAAAACGAAAAGTCGCCTCCATTAAAAATCACATTTATATTTCTATTTCCTGTTTGTCTTTAAAATAATTTTGATTTTAGTGGTTTTGTGTAAACTTTAATATATGTTAATTTTTATGTGTATTGAAATAGCTTCATATATGTCTAGAATATTAATAGCAGTTTCATATATGTCTAGAATATTAATCGCAGTTAGAATTCACATCCTAAACATTTTAATCAAACTACATCCTTTATTTATGTCCTTTTTGGTGGGTGAGAGGGTTATACTTGACTATCCTGAGGATTTTATTCCTGGCACTATACTCAGGGATCACTCCTGGTGGAGCTTTGGTGAACCATATGTGGTGCCGATTGAACCCAGGTTGGAATATGCAAGACAAACATCTTACCCACTGTACTATATCTCTGGTCCCAGACTATATCTTTTAAATTCTTGTTCGTGTACTTTAGTATAGTGATTTATATAGAGTTTCATAATACTAGAGTTTCGTAATACTGTTGAAATCAAGCTAACATACATTTTTACTTTTTTACTTTTTTACCTTCCTTACCACACATGGAGGCTAATTATGTTTGCAATCATCCAGACACTTTTTAAAAAATAGATCTCTGAGAGATTTCTTCCTTACATATATGAAATCATACGGAAAGTATGCTTTTTGAGGATAAACCAGTCATGAAACAGTAACATCTTTTACTAATAACTTACGGATACAAAAAAATGTTAATGTCAGATTATATAGTGTTATAAAAGGTATGGAGAGAAGTATACTATGCCTGATATTTGTGCATATATATTTTAACCCCAACACTAGAAGGAATTCCTTTTTAAAAATGCCAGAAAAAGATGAAAAATTACCAACCATCTGTTCACCAGGAAAAATGACTCCAAGAATAATCAAGAAAATATAATATACTGATTCTAAATACACATGGAGCCAAAAATAATACATGAAGTCTAATTCTGCCCTTACCCTCTTTTTTAATCCTGGCAATGGAATAATTGACTCTTTCAATCCATATTAATGTTTAACAGTACAAGGAAAAAATAAAAATGCCATAAGCCTTCTGTGTTCTCATAGTTAAGGTTCTCTTTTTGTCTGTTTAGGTTTTCTGCTGAATTTGATTTCCGCACATATGATTCAGAAGGTGTTATCCTATATGCAGAATCTCTAGATCGGTCTTCTTGGTTCCTGATTGCACTTCGTGATGGAATGATTGAAATTCAATTTAAGAATGAGTATTCTACCCAAATCACATCTGGAGGCAAAGTTATTAATAATGGTCTATGGACTATAGTACGTTTTGCAAATTTTGTAGTCTTATTACTTTGATGTTATGTGCATAAAATCATTAGAATTTTTATACTGTTACCAAACCACATAGCTTTATCTTTTTTTTTTTTCTGAGAAGGAAAATATTTTTTTATTAAAAAAATTTTTAATAGTGAGACATCATGAGGTACAGTTGCAGACTTACACATTTTTGTGCTTGGGTTTCAATTATACAATGATCAAATACCATCCCTCCACCGGTGCCCATTTCCCACCACCACGGTGGGAAATATAATGAGATATAATGTTTTTAAACCAATTTTTCTTTACTTTATCTGTCTTTGTAGTGATTATTTTTTTTTCCCTTTATTTTATTTTATTTTTTTTAAAGTTGTAGATTTACAATTTTTTGTGCTTTGGTTTCAATTATACAATGATCAGATACCCATCCCTCCACCAGTGCCCATTTTCCACCACCATGGATAATATCCCTCCCACCCCCATCCCCCCATCCCCCCTGTCTCTGTGGCAGGGCAATCCCCTGTGTTCTCTCTCTCCTTTTGGGTGTTGTGGTCTGCAAAAGAGGCATTGAGTGGCAAACATGTTCAGTCCATAGTCTACTTTCGACATGCATCTCCCCTCCTGGGAGGATCCTCCAAACATCCTTTATTTGGTGCTCCCTTCTCTATCTGAACTGCCCTTTCCTCTAGGATACCCGGCTGGCCTCTAAGTTATGGAGTAATCCTCCTGGTGCTGATCTCAGCTATTCTTGGGTATTAATCTCATACTTTGTTACTTTATATCCCCCAGATGAATGCAATCTTTCTATGTCTATCCCTCTCTTTCTGACTCATTTCGCTTAGCATGATACTTTCCATATTGTACCACTTGTATGTAAATTTCATGACTTCATCTTTTCTAAGAGCTACATAGTACTCCATTGTGTAGATGTACCAAAGTTTCTTTAACCAGTCATCTGTTCTTGGGCATTCAGGTTTCTTCCAGTTTCTGGCTATTGTAAAGAGTGCTGCAATGAACAAACAAGTGCAGATGTCACTTCGACTATACATTTTTGCCTCTCTGGGATATATTCCCAGGAGTGGTATTGCTGGGTCAAATGGGAGCTCAATTTCTAATTTTTTGAGAATCGTCCATACTGTTTTCCAGAAGGGCTGAACCAGTGGACATTCCCACCAACAGTGAAGGAGTGTCCCTTTCTCGCCACATCCACGCCAGCATCGGTTGCTTTTGTTCTTTTGAATGTGGGCCAGTCTCTGAGGTGTGAGATGGTATCTCATTGTGGTTTTGATCTGCATCTCCCTGATGATTAATGATGTAGAGCATTTTCTCATGTGCTTTTTTGCCATTCAGATTTCTTCTTTGAGAAAGTTTCTGTTCATTTCATTGCCCCATTTTTGGATGGGGTTGGATGTTTTCTTCTTGTGGAGTTTAACCAGTATTTTGTATATCCTGGATATCAACCCCTTGTCAGATGTGTATTCGGTGAATATCCTTTCCCATTCTGTAGACTGTCTTTGTATTTTGGTCACTGTTTCTTTGGAGGTGCAGAAGCTTCTTAGTTTAAGATAGTCCCATTTATCTATCTCTGTTTTCACTTGCTCGGCCAGTGGCGTGGCATCTTTGAAGATACCATTAGCTTCAATGTCATGGAGGGTTTTGCCAACTTTATCTTCAATGTACCTTATGGTTTCTGGTCTGATGTTGAGGTCTTTAATCCATTTTGATCTTACTTTTGTACATGGTGTTAGGCAGAGTTCTGAGCCTATTTTTTTGCATGTAGCCGTCCAGTGATGCCAACACAATTTATTAAAGAGGCTTTCCTTACTCCACTTCACATTACTTGCACCTTTATCAAAGATTAGATGAGCATATGATTGAGGAGAGATGTCAGTGTATTCAACCCTGTTCCATTGGTCTGCAGTTCTGCCTTTGTTCCAGTACCAGGCTGTTTTAATTATTACTGCTTTGTAGTACAGTTTGAAGTTCGGGAGGTTGATTCCTCCCATTTTCTTTTTCCCAAGAATTGCTTTAGCTATTCGTGGGGGCTTATTGTTCCATATAAATTTCAAGAGTGTTTGCTCCATTTCTTTGAAGAATGTCATGGGTATCCTTATAGGGATTGCATTGAATTTATACAATGCTTTCGGTAGTATTGCCATTTTGACAATGTTAAGTCTCCCGACCCATGAGCAGGGGATATCTTTCCATTTCCTCATGTCCTCTTTTATTTCCTGAAATAGCGTTTTGTAGTTTTCTTTGTACAGGTCCTTTACTTCCTTAGTTAAGCTGATTCCTAGGTACTTGATTTTCTGGGGCACAATTGTGAACAGGATTGTTTTTTTCATGTTGCTTTCTTCTCTCTCACTGTTTGCGTATAGGAAAGCCATGGACTTTTGGGTATTGATTTTATAACCTGCAACTTTACTGTACGAGTCTATTGTTTCTAGGAGTTTTTTGGTGGAAGTTATTGGGTTCTCTAAGTAGAGTATCATATCATCTGCGAATAGTGAGAGCTTGATTTCTTCCTTTCCTACCTGAATGCCCTTAATATCTTTTTCCTGCCTAATCGCTATTGCAAGTACTTCCAGTACTATATTGAACAGCAGTGGAGAGAGTGGGCATCCCTGTCTCGTCCCTGATCTTAGAGGGAAGGCTCTCAGTTTTTCCCCATTGAGGATGATGCTTGCTGTAGGCTTGTGGTAGATGGCTTTAAGTATGTTGAGGAAGGTCCCCTCTATACCCATTTTGGCTAGGGTTTTCATCATAAAGGGGTGCTGGATCTTATCAAATGCTTTCTCTGCATCTATTGATATGATCATATGCTTTTTATCTTTTCTTTTGTTGATATGGTGGATTATGTTGATTGATTTCCGAATGTTAAACCATCCTTGCATCCCTGGGATGAATCCTACTTGGTCATGGTGTATGATCTTTTTAATGAGTAGTTGGATTCTATTTGCTAGTAGTTTGTTGAGGATCTTTGCATCTGTGTTCATCAGGGATATCGGCCTGTAATTCTCTTTCTTTGTGGTATCTCTGTCTGCTTTTGGTATCAGTGTGATATTTGCTTCGTAGAAACTGTTTGGAAGTGTTTTTGATATTTCAATTTCGTGGAAAAGCTTAAAGAGCATTGGGAGTAAGTCCTCTTTAAAGATTTGGAAGAATTCACTAGTGAATCCATCCGGGCCAGGACTTTTGTGCTTGGGGAGACTTTTTATTACCATTTCAATTTCCTTGATGGTGATAGGTCTGTTCAGGTATTCCAGGTCTTCTTGGTTCAGCCTTGGGAGTCTGTAGGAGTCTAGGAATTTATCCATTTCCTCGAGGTTTTGATGTTCCGTGGCATAAAGCTTCTCAAAGTACTCCCTGAGGATCCTCTGAATTTCTGTGGTTTCTGTTGTAATGACCCCCTTTTCATTTCTGATTCGGTTTATTAGGGTTTTCTCTCTCCCTTTCTTTGTGAGTTTTGCTAGAGGCTTATCGATCTTGTTAATTTTCTCGAAGAACCAGCTCTTGGTTTCATTGATCTTTCGGATTGTTTTTTGGGTTTCCATCTCGTTAATCTCTGCTCTGAGTTTTATTATTTCCTTTCTCCTGTTCGGGTTGTGCTCCTTTTTTTGGTCCTTCTCCAAGCTCTTAAGCTGTGAGGTTAGGTTACTTATGTGTGCTCGCTCCTCCTTCCTGAGGAATGCTTGTAGAGCTATAAACTTTCCTCTTAACACAGCCTTTGCTGTGTCCCATAAGTTTTGGTAACTCGTGTTCTCATTTTCATTCGTTTCCAGGAATCTTTTGATTTCCTCTTTGATTTCCTGTCTAATCCACTCGTTGTTCAATAGTGCACTGTTTAATTTCCAGGTGTTTGATTTAGTTTTCTGTTTTTGTGTGTGATTTACTTCTAATTTCAGCGCATTATGGTCTGAGAAGATTGTTGATACAATCTCTACCTTCTTAATTTTATGGAGGCATGTTTTGTGGCTCAGCATGTGGTCTATCTTGGAGAATGTTCCATGTACGCTTGAGAAGAATGTGTATTCAGCTTTTTGTGGATGAAGTGTCCTGTATATATCTACTAAGTCCCTTTCTTCCATTGTTTCCCTCAAATGAAGTATGTCCTTGCTAAGCTTGAGTCTGGTTGATCTATCAAGAGGTGACAAAGCAGTGTTGAAGTCTCCCACTAGTATTGTGTTGCTATTGATGTCTTTTTCCAAATCTATGAGTAGTTGTTTTAAGTACTTTGCTGGTCTCTCATTAGGTGCATATACATTTATTATTGTAAGTTCTTCCTGTTGTACAGATTCTCTGATCAATAAGAAATGGCCTTCACTGTCTCTTATGACCTTCCTCACTCTGAAATCGATGTGGTCTGATATAAGGATGGCTACCCCAGCTTTTTTTTTTTTTTTTTTTTTTTTTTTTTTTTTATGCAGTTTAGGCTTGTATTTTAAATAATTCTTTTTTTTTTTTTTTTTTTTTTTATATTTTTTTTTTTTATTAGTGAAAAACCATGAGGTACAGTTATAGGCTTACAAATTTTGTGCTTGGGTTTCAGTTATACAATGATCAAGTCCCCATACCTCCACCAGTGCCCGTCATCCATCCCCATGGGTCCCAGCATCCCCCCCCCCTCATCCCCCCCCCCCCCCCCCCCCGTCCCATCCTGCCTCTGTGGCAGGGTATTCCCCCTTGCTTTTTATGGGAGCTGTTTGCCTGTAGGATTGTTTTCCAGCCTTTGACTCTGAGTCTGTGTTTGCTTTGACTATTGAGATGAGTTTCTTGCAGGCAGCAGAATGTTGGGTTCAATTTTCTAATCCATCCTGCCACTCTATGTCTTTTAATTGGTGCATTTAGCCCATTGACATTGAGAGAGATTATTGTTATGGGATTTTGTCCCATTGTTCTGTTAAAATTGGGTGTATTTGAGGGGCCTTTCTTGCCTTAAAGTAGCCCATTTAGTTGTTCTTGTAACCATGGTTTTGAGTCTATGAAGTTCCTGAGCTGTTGTTTGTCTGTGAAACTGTGTGTTGTTCCTTCTATTATGAATGAGAGTCTTGCTGGGAAAAGTATTTTGGGGGAGGCATTTATTTCATTGAGTTTTTTTACTATGTCCCACCACTGTTTTCGGGCCCTGAGGGTTTCATCAGAAAAATCAGCTGTGAATTTTAAGGATGCTCCTTTGTAAGAGATTTCTTTCTTCGATCTTGCTGCTTTCAGAATTTTGTCTCTTTCTAAGGTTTTGGTCATTTTGATCAGAATGTGTCTTGGGGTATTTTTTTTCGGATTTCTTCTAGCTGGTACCCTTCGGGCCTCCTGAATGTGGTCACAAGTTTTCTTCAGCTCTGGAAATGTTGTAACAATGATGTCTTTGACAGTTTCTTCTTCATTGAGGTTTTCTTCCTGTCCCTCTGGGACTCCAATAATTCTTATGTTACCCCTCTTGGCTTCATCACGATCTTCTCTTGCCATCTGTTCCCGAATTGTGAGTCTCTTTTCCATTTTCTGCTCTTTTCTGGAGAGTCTCTGAACTTCATCTTCGAGCTCACTGATTCTGTTCTCAGCCGCTCTTACTCTGCTGCTGAGGCCTTTCACTGAGCTTTTCAATTCGCCTACGAGATTTTTCAGGTCTGACATTTCTGATTGCATTTTCCTCATTTCTGCCTTCAGATCCTCTTGTCTTCTATTGGCATTGCTTTCCATTGTTTCTTTTAATTCCCTAAGCATGCTAAGTAGCTCCCTTCTGAATTCCTTGTCAGAGAGGTTGTCTAACACTACAGTACTGTTGGTGTCATCTGGGCTAGACTCTTCAATATGAATGTTTGGTGGGCTTTTGCGTTGCTTTACCATTGTGAGAGGTGTGGTTTAGTCCTTCACGTTCAGTGTTACTATTCTGCTTGATATGCAGTGTGAGTTAAGATAGGCTTATGAGTTATTGGCAACTGTGTTTCTAGTGGCTGAGCTAAAATAGAGAAATTTCCATCTAAGAAGTTAGCTTATGGTTCCTATGGCATATGTAGTGGGAAAATATTTCGCGGCCGCGTCAGCGGCCGCGGCTCCGGAAAAAGTCCCTGGCACTGGGCGAGGAGTTGGGAAGGTCTCCTGTTTGGAATTGGAGCCGTTCAGCTTTGTTGCCCAGAGCTGGGCCTCTGTGCCCGTCCCACGCGGATCAGGGGTTGAAAACCGGCTGTCTAGGGGCTGTTTCAAGCTGCGCGTGCCCAGAGAGGAACCCAGGCCCTTGGGGGCGGGCTGTACCTGCTGGAATTGGAGCCGTTCAGCTTTGTTGCCCAGAGCTGGGCCTCTGTGCCCGTCCCACGCCCATAGCTTTATCTTTTATGTGAAGTATTATCTACAAAGCAAAGTAAGATTAGCAGTAGAACAATTGTCTTGCTTGTGTGAGGTCCTGGGATTAATTCTCAGCACACAGCAAAACAAAAATCCAAAAAAATTCAAATGTCTTGTAATCAAAATAAATAAAGTGAAATGTATGATTATAAAGTTATAAGAACGGTCATAAGGCAAAAGTAAACAATATTGCTTTATAAGCAATTTTATATTTTGAAATTATTTTTAATTCTGGTACTTACTAGTAGGGCGTCTATAACTTGCATTATTTTATTCATTTATAAGTTACCTTTTTCTAGGTGATGAGGATTCAACTGAATAAAAATATTCACTCCTCTTATGAGCTTGCATTCTAGTGGTGACATGAAAACCACAAATGCCTGAACATATAGATTATGTCAGATAGTGATTAATGCTATGAGGAAAAAGAAAAGCAAGGCAAAACCATTGAGTGTGATGATGGTGAGTTTGCTTATGGAATCAGGAAAAGCCATCTCTGATACACTTAAATCTAACCGAAGACTTATGAGTATGAGTCACGAGAAACATATGGGTGAAGAGGGTTCTTTGTGCTATGAACACAAAGTATAGAGACTCATGGGAGAGGGTGTGTTTGGTGTCTTTGATAAACCACACAAAGGTCAGTGTAGAGTTAGTGGAGAAGAAGAAAGAGTAGTCGGTGATCTGGAATAAGATCATGTAGAGCCTTGGGGACCATAATGAGATGATGGGTTGATAGAAATTTGAAAACTCCTGGGTTGGCTAATTTTGAAGAGTGATAGAGACAAATCCACTCTTTGGTTTTGGTTTTAGTTTTGGGCTACGCCTGTGCTTGGGGATTGTTCCTGGCTCTGAGCTCAGGTATCACTCCTGGAGTCGTCTGGGACCATCAAACCTGGTGGATTGCGTGGTGCAAAAAAAAAAAAAAAAAAAAAAAAGCATCTTATTGGCTGTAGTATCTTTCCCACCTCAGACAAATTCACATTTTTCAAGACAGCACTGACCAAGGATGGATGGCTTTGTGGAAATTAGATAATAGAAGATCAGGGAAGAGTAGGATATGGGAATAGGGGACCATTACAATATAAACCCAATGAAAGAAGACTGCAGCAGTGGCTGCTGTTTAATGGTGGGAACTGAAATGTATAATACTTGTCAAAACTTGTTCCTATGCAGTAACCTGTAAGCTATAAATATAGACATATGCTGGGAAGTTGCATCAGCAGTTTAGAAACTATAGATGTGTAAATGGTACTGAAAAATAGCAATATTTCAAGATAAAAAGAAAGTCTTGGTTAAGATCCAGTTGAAGCAAGATTCAGGTTAAGCTTTCAATCAAGTATATATAAATTTTGTATATCTACTTTAAGAGGGGTTTAAGTATCCTGGGATCGAGTATTTCAGACCTATTCTAAACTCATTCGGTGCCCAATTATAATACTATTATAAAATGAAATGCATTGGTAATGTAAGTTATCATGAATTTTGAATAGAAACCAAGAAAATGCTGCAATGCTTGTATTATTAAATAAATTCATTTATAAGGAAATAGTCACTGTCACTGTCCTCCCGTTGTTCATCGATTTTCTCGAGCGGGCCCAGTAATGTCTCCATTGTGAGACTTTGTTGTTACTGTGTTTGGCATATCGAATACGTCAGAGGTAGTTTGCCAGGCTTTGCTGTGCGGGCGAGATACTCTCGGTAGCTTGCCGGGCCCTCCGAGAGGGGCAGAGGAATTGAACCAGGCTTGGCCAGGTGGCTGCATGCAAGGCAAATGCCTTACCTGCTGTGCTATTGCTCCAGCCCAAGGAAATAGTATAAATTTAAATTTGAAAATATTTGAGCACAAGTATAATACTTGTTAAAGCTTGTTCCTATGCAATAACCTGTAAGCTGTAAATATAGACATATGCTGGGAAGTTGCATCAGCAGTTCAGAAACTATAGATGTATAAATGGTACTGAAAAATAGCATCACTGAGGTCAGAACCCAAGTTTCCTGATGCAAAGTAGATTACCAGTCTTTTGAGCTTCAACCCAGGATTTTTTTATTGTTTACCATTACTTTTTATTAGAAAACAGAAGACTGCTTTGCATCAGTTCTATAATTGGTGTGCAATAAAAGGATTACTGGAGATACAGATTTTTCTTGATTTATAATAATAACTTATTTACAGTATTGTTTATATGTACGTGGATTACCAGACAATTGCAAGTAAGCACACTTAATTTTTTTGACATTGTGAAGAATAATTTTTTTTCTTAAGCTTAATTTTATATCATCCTGGGGTTGAAATATGTCTTATAATTAAATTCTTAAATTTAAAAGAATAATGTTAATATTCTTATACTTTAAAATATGATGTGATGTTTACTTTTTGGTCAAGCACTATCACTTCAAAAGACATTTTTATTGCCTTTATAATAATTGACATTTCAGTTCTTTTGGAATAATGTAATAGTTAATTTAAACTGACTGTCTTGATAAGTTATTTATTGGAATAGTAACAGGATTTTTCAGTCCCACCATTTCAAATGACATGAAATGATATTTGGTTATTTGGTAATTTTTCTCTTTTTATTTATAGGTCTCTGTGGAAGAAGTAGAACACAGTATAAGTGTTAAAGTAGCTAAGGAACCTGTGATGAATATAATTAAGCCTAATACTCTTTTTAAGCCTTCATATGGCTTTCTAGAAATCAAAGTATATTTTGCAGGATTACCTCACAGAATGGAGAATGCACTCATTAGACCGGTAATTATTCAAATTTACCATGAATTAATTTTATCTATAATAGACTTGAAACTAATTTTATGTGTGTCAGAGTTATTTTCTTAAGTATAAGACCCATGGCAACTTAAAAGTGAAAAAATTACATTAGTGACCATTGAGATTTTCTTAAAGATCTAAGAAAATCAATGTGCTTATTTTATGACCAGATAAATCCCCATCATTATTCATGGGGAAGTAGCTTTAAAATGTTTTTCAAACATAAATTGTGTATTAACATCATACTTGTCTTTTCTTAACCATTAAATATATAAATATATTTGTTTGGATCAGATTTATTTTAGTACAAAATTTGGGAGTGAACATAGCACATACAAGGGAAATCAAAAAATTATTTACCCTCAGTATTACTATAGCTTGCCATAAATTATAGTTAGACTATGCTAGATTATTTCTGTATATAATATTTGTCTGATAACTATGGAATTAAATTCATGAAGGACACTGTCATTGAACTGTTCTACATTTTTATTTGAAGTTATGGGTCCACCTAATACACTGATTTAATTTAAATATTTACTATTGCATATTACTCTTTTTTTGAGGAGGTCACACCCGGCAATGCACAGGAGTTACTCCTGGTTCATGCACTCAGGAATCACTCCTGGCGGTGCTCGGGGGATCATATGGGATGCTGGGAATCGAACCTGGGTCACCCGCGTGCAAGGCAAGCGCCCTACTTGCTGTGCTATTGCTCCGGCCCCTGCATATTTATCTTTAACTCATGGCAGTTCACTCATCTTAACTCAAAATATTTATATGGTCTGATAATCTTGAAGTAGTTAACTTGTGTCAGAGAAAATAAGAAAATCATTTGAAATTGATAAATTAGAAGTTTTTTTATAGTAAAATAATTTATTCCAAAGGAATAGAATATCCATAAACTGCTACTGTGTACTTGAAATTTACCTAGAAAGTTTGATAAAAACTAAAGAATGAAATATTCTTGTTTATTTGGAGGCATTGCACCTCATGGTAGGAAAAACATCTGTTGGAATGTGATTAATGGATGGACAGAAAGTAAATTAGAGCCCGAGACTATAGCTAGAATACATAGAATTTAGTATGGGGAAGTGACCACTGGATAAGATAAAAGGTAGAACTGACATGTTAAATATAATTAAGATCCCAGTGAAGGCCTATTATAGCTACACTCACTTTTACTAAAACAGGTTGTTCTAAAATACACCTTGAATTAAAAAAAAAAAAGATAAAATAAAAAATATTTAAAATATAACCAACTTTTCCTTCTTAAGGAAACCTGTATCTATCATCAATTAAGCCACTTATCAGACTAAATTGCATGTTTAAAATATATTTCTTGGCTTCTATTTTAATGTGTTAGATTAATCCTCGTCTAGATGGATGTATACGAGGCTGGAATTTGCTAAACCAAGGAGCTTCAGGAGTTAAGGAAATTATTCAAGAAAAACAAACTAAGCATTGTCTTCTCACTGTGGAGAAGGGCTCCTACTATCCTGGTTCTGGAGTTGCTCAATTTAACATAGATTATAGTAAGTCTTTCCTATTTGTCTCCTTTTTTTCATTAATGATTAAATTTACTCATTGAAAATGGCAATAATTTCTGCACAAACCATTATAAAGTACCTACTATGTATCAGGTACAGTGTTAGACTTACTCATACTATTATGTATTTTGGCATATTGAATATGTCACGGGGAGTTTGCCAAGCTTTGCCCTGCGGGCAAGATACTCTTAGTAGCTTGTCGGACTCTCCAAAAGTGGCAGAGGAATTGAACTCAGGTTGGCCGGGTTGGCTGCATGCAAAGCAAATGCCTTACCCGCTATGCTATCGCTGCCAAACACAGTAACAACAAAATCTCACAATGGAGATGTTACTGGGCCCGCTCAAGCAAATCAATGAACAATGGGAGGACAGTGTTACAGTGCTATATATTTTAATAATTTTGGGGAGTGGGAGCAGGGTTAGGCCACACTCAACCACGCTCAGGGTTTACTCCTGGCTCTGAGCTCAGAGATCACTCCTAGCAAGGATCTGGGGCCCACATGGGATGCTGGAGATTGATTGAACTTAGGTTGGCCACATGCAAGGCAAATGCCCTACCAGCTGCACTATCACTTCCAGCACAATATATTTTAATCAATGTTCTTGGGATGTTTGGGAAAATTAAGGTAGCTGAATGATGTTATTAATATGGTCATGCTACTTAAATATTATTGGCATATAACCTGACTGATTTATGAAAATTTCACTGTGTGCCCCCTTTTTCTTAGACATATTGGTTTACAACACTGTATATGTTTTAGTAGGAACTCTTGTCCGCATTGCATATGGGTTTTTATGTGTTTAACTGTGCCTACAACTGCCATACTGTCACACTAGCTTTCACTGGTACTTTAGTAATTTGTTGAAAATTTTATAAGAATTGTTCTTTTGTGTGTGTGTGTGTGTGTGTGTGTGTGTGTGTGTGTGTGTGCTAGGGTGAGGGGCTGAGGGAGAGTTTATTGGCCCTCAGCCAGTGGAGACTGCAGTTTACTCCTGAATCTGGACCTAGGGCTTATACCTGATGGGCTCAGGGGTCCACATGTGGTACAGGGCTTGAACCCAGGTCTTCCCAGATACAAAGCAAGCACTCTAACCACTGTACTAGCGCATAGGCCCCAACCTAAATTGTTCTTAACTAATTGTATAGCACTGGATATTTGCCTTGGGCAAGAGAGTACTCCCACTCTATCTCTTCAAAGAAGGACATCTATTTTTTTTTTAGGTTTCTAATTAGTTTCCTGTTTTGTAATCTCAACTCTTTAATAGTTCAAGAGGAATTCAATTATGAAGATAGTTGTCTTTTTTATAAGTGTGCATTTTCCAGTTTCCTCCTATATGAATGAAACAGTAAGTTCTTCTAGTATGTTCCCACTTTTTTTTTTTTTTGCTTATTGGGTCACACCTGGCGATGCACAGGGGTTACTCCTGGCTCTGTACTCAGGAGTTACTCCTGGCGGTGCTCAGGGGACCATATGGGATGCTGGGAATAGAACCTGGGTCGGCCGCATGCAAGGCAAATGCACTACCCGTTGTGCTATCTCTCCAGCCCCTGTTCCCACTTTTTACCTTAACAAATAGTATTTCCATAACTATCTTTGAACATACAGCTTGTGATTAGCTTTGTATGAGAGAGTATGAGAACTATAGGGCCTTTTTCAAAGACGATGCAAATATATATATATGTATATATATATTTTGGTTGATCAAATTCTATTCCAAAGATATTTTATCAATTTATTTTTATCAACAAAATAGGAATGTTTATATTTGTTTGTTATATATATCTTATTTTTTAAAAAAATGATATCAATTCCTTACAAAGTTCAGTATTTTTTCATATGTTCAGAGACTGCCTGCACTTAATTATTTTATTGAAATTTTTTGTATTTTCTATTTTAGGAGTTCATTATCTGAGTTACTAATACAGCATTATAAATTAAGTCTAGAATTACTATGATACGCCTTTTTTTAAGAAAAAACAGCTCAAATGCTTTTATTTATTGCCTGGGAATTATTGCTATGTTTTTAAGGGAGACCTTACACTAGTGCATTAATGGTTTTGTTTTCTAAACATAAATTAAAACAACACCTTTATGTTTACTCTTTTTTTAATGATCTTTTTAATATAATTTTGTGTTGATACCTGAATATAGAAAAAAATAAGCCCATGGTGATATGTTGAATAGGGAAAAAAACCAGAAAATTTAAGTATTTTCATACCTAAAAATATTACTTCATAATTATTTAATTCACAAAGAACCTGAAAACTATCTACTTTATAATGTTTGCTATGTTATAATTTAATATTCTTGCATATTTTTGCGTTGCTACCTCCTGTTAAGCTTTTTTATTTCTAAATAATTATATTTTTCCTTGAGTGGGTATTAAATAATGATAGTGACATATGAGTAGCATTAGAAATGGTTAATGAAAGAACGTATTTCAAGGAAATACTATTTTCTCTAGACTTGATCTTTCAAAGATTTCAGGGGGCATTTTAGGCTGTTACAATATATTTCTTCACATTAAATGAGGAAGGCTTCAGATTTTGAGCTAATATTTTTGTGGATTAAATGATTTTCAAACAAAGTAACAAACTAAAACATTTGAATAAATACTGCGAAAAACAGATTATCGAGACATGTATAACTCATTTTCTTCAGCGTTAGATAATGTGCCTACTAATTAAGGAAAAGAAGACACATTTAAAAGAGTAATCTAGAAGTACTGTAAAGTCAACTGTTGATTTCAGAGTTCTTTTCTACTTGCCAACGATGCAGCCAACGATGTTGTTCAATGGTAGAGCACATGCCCTGGATTCAGTTCCCGGCACAGCCAAAACCAAATTCTCCAACTCCCCAGTGTATATAGGACATATCTATTATTCCCATTGCTCTAATCAGAGCACTTTTGGATGAGGAGCAGTATGGCGTTAGCAGCTGTACATAGATTTACCTTAAAACTACTGACGTGATTTCTTTGAATTTTCTCCTATATATTTTAAAACGTAACTTCTATGAGATTGACACTAGTGAACATGAAAAGGAAGAGGAAAAGCTTTTAAAGATAAAAATCGGGGGGGGGAGGGGCAAAGTTATAAAAGTATAGTACAGAAGGCCTTTTCTTTCCACACGGCTCATTTGGGTTTGATCCCTGGCATCCCATGGTCGCCCCAGTACCATCAGGAGTGGTTCTTGAGTGCAGAGCCAGGAGTAGCCCCTGAACATCACCAGCTGTGACCCAAAGAGGTCTAAGCAAAACCAAAGGGGAAAAAAATGAAACAGAAGGGATCAAGTGAGTGATAATCCAGTTGGTGTGTCCTCAAATCAAACAAACAAATCCCAAATCCAAAAGGCTACTTTGAAAATTTAATTCTTAAAAAAAAAAAAAAAAGCAAACAAGTCCATATCTGGCTCAGTGGTAGAGAAGCACGTCTTGTTTCTTTTATGTATGAGACTCTGGGTTTCATCACTAAAACTGAAGCTAAAAAAAAATTTAAAAAAGCAAACATATAATGTTAAAATAAAGGGCAAAAGAGAAAAATTGTAGTAGTTTTTAATTCTCTAATATAGAAGGATGGGGCACTTAGTGGGTTTTGTTTGCATTATACATGGGTTTCTTGTTTGTTTGGTTTTGGTTTTGTTTGTTTGCTTTTTTGGACCACACGCAGTGGTGCTCATTGGTAATATCTGGCTCTGCACTCAGGAATTACTCCTGGGTTGCACAGGGGACCATATGGGATGCCAGAAATCAAACTGGGCTATCTGCATGCAAGGCAAGCACCCTATTCACTGTACTATTGAGTATATACATCATTGAGGTGAGAATTGAAACTTGAGTACTATACATAATGTCTTTTTTTGTGGGGAGAGGGGGTCACACACAAGGATGCTCAGGGCTTACTCCTGGCTCTGCACTCAGGAATCCATCTTGGTGGTGCTTTGGGAGATCATATGGGATGCCATTGATGGACCCAGGTGGACCACATGTAAGGCAAGTGCCATCTATTACTCTGGCTGAAGATGTATTGGAGTATTAATGAGATGGCTAATAATATGATTGGACTGATATTTAGAAGAGATGACTTGCACAAAATACTTATAAATGTCTCTTCTGATACACATATTTCTAAATATCTCTTCTGATACACATATTTCTAAATATCTCTTCGGATATACATATAAGTACATTGATCCCACTTTTGTTTCTGTATTTAAACAGATAACGCATCCAAAGCTGAGGCTTGGCAACTGAATGTCACCTTGAATATTCGTCCATCTGCTGGCACTGGTGTTCTGTTTGCCTTGATATCTGGTAACACAGTACCCTTTGCCTTGTCCTTGGTGGATTCCACCTCTGAAAATTTTCAGGTAACTTTATGATAGATGTTTTGGCCGTTTTTATAAAAAATTGCATAAATGGATATATAACAGTATTTTCATCAAATCGCTACTTTGATGATTAGGAGAGAACACTTGCATAAAGTATTTGGCACAAATTCCAAAACATCATTAAGGACTTAATAAATGTCCATTATTTTTATTTTTTTGCATATTTATTTCTAAGGTCTGAACCAAGATGTCAGGAGGAGACATTGAAAAGCCTGTTGCAGATAGAACTAAGATTAGGCAGACACACAGGCATCTTGGAGCCTTCCCAGGGTACAGAGAGATCCACCCTTATTCACAATCCTTAAAGTATCATGGGAATTAGCCAGTACCAACAAAATAAAAGTGAGTCTGATTACAACTCACTCTCAGATATGTAGTATCTAATTATAATGTGTTGTGCTTTCTGGCACGCTTGTTTAATCTTCCCTCCCATAAGTAAATTAGGAGAGATGAGAAAAAACTAAAACCAGCCCTTGGCTTCTTGCTGGCAACTTTGATTTGAAATGAGAAGGAACAGAAAAAAAGCATCTTGAATAAAAGTAAACATGAGAGTTATCAAAGATTTGTATTATTTGGCATTCTGTTAGAAGCTATTTAATATGTCATCCACTGTAGATTCCAACAAGTTGCAGCAAGAATCTTGTGTGTATGCCAAGATCAGCTTGGATGATCTCTATATGTTTTAGAAGAGACAAATCACTGAATAGTGTCTATAGTCATAGAAGGGGGAGCTGTTTGCAATTTACAGGGTGATTGAGGCAGGCTGGCGTGGTCGTGGGGTAGAAGAAGAGTGAGCAGATTAGAAATTAATCTGAGATAAGCAACCTAAAGGTATCCTGCAAGGTTTTTGTCATCAGCTTGCCACAGGCATTTACAACTTTTGGATTTCAGCTAGATGTTAACTTATTTAAAAAAAAAAATGGAATTCCCATACTCATCCAGTACTCATTCATCAGTGAAGAGACAAAGGTATTTGGTAACTTCTATATGTATTTATTATTTAAATATTTTTTAAAAGTTTTATGTTTTGGGGGTCACACCCAGTTTCATATTTGTTTGCAGAGCCTACAACTCCCATAATGTCACACTAGCTTTAACTTGAGTTTTAGCAATCTGTTGAAAATTTTACCTAAACTGGTGTGAGTGTGTGTGTGTGTGTGTTCTGGCCACACCTGAAGGTGTTTAGGGCTTACTTCTGCCTCAGTGCCCAGGGGTTACTCATGGTAGTACTTGGAGAACCATATGTGGTGCTAAGATTAAATACACTCAATTGTATGAAGGCGAGCATCCTACGGGCTGTACTATCTTTCTCTCCCCATTATTTTTATTGAAGTTTCTGTGTTTATCTGTGTCTTCATGATTCTTCAAGATATGTATGCAGTGTTTTATAACATTATATCACCTAATAGTTATCATTCTGAAATGCTTTCTCAGCTAACAATCTTATTTGTTTTTGTTTGGGGATCACACCCAGCAGTACTCAGGCCTTACTCCTAGTTCTGCAGTAAGAGATAGTTGCTGGTCGTGCTCAGTCGACCATATTGGGTGCCAGGGATAAACCTGGGTCAGCTGTATGCAAGGCAAATGTCTTACCCACTCTACTATTGCTCTGGTCCCTCTTTATGGACTTTTAGATGAGTTCATAGATAGTGAAGATGAGTAACACTAGCAGATTTCCACAGCTTACATATCTTTGCAAAAAATAGATTTCACATAAAATATTGATCTTGGATTGCTATTCAGATACTTTAAGACTCTACCATCTGGAAAGCATTACAATATACAACTTTTCAGTTTCATTTAATTTTATTCTCTCATTTTTTATTTTTCCTCTCTCTCTCTCTCTCTCTCTCTATATATATATATATATATATAAGCTATATGCATAGATCACTGTCAATTGTTTGAGCAGTTTAGTCTATGAATGATTAAAAAGTAGAAAAATTAACTTTTAATCTATTTTGTGGGGTAAATTCTCTAATGTAACTGCTGCTAATCCCAGGTTGTTTTTTCTTTCTTGGGCCTCTTCACAACTTCATCCCCAGTGCTCAGAATTGCTATGCACAAAAGCCCTTTTCATTCATGTTGGCATGTGCTTACTAAAGCACTTCAAAATTTTCCAAGTCTTTGCTCCAACAAAGAGTTATTCAACTCCTTCCTTTTTCATATGTAAGTTCTGAAGTTGGGAAGAAGGAAAAATACTGCTTAATACGCGACGTTAAGTTTCCATTTTTGGTAAAACAACCCTGTTGGTGTATGAACATTTTCAGAAGCTACAGCATAGCTACATAATAGTGGAACAGGGACTTCATAATATAAATATATATTCAAAATGACCATTATAGTAATTAGTAATTTTTTTCATTGAAACTTGGAAGCTCTATCGCATATTTGGTTTTCTTCATTGAAATTCTGTTTTTCCATTTTCGAATTTCAAAGACTCCCGAAGTTACTCTTGGCCAGGGATGTGGCTCAAGGGGTAGAGAAGATGCATTCATTGCAGGTATGAGAGCTGGGCTCTCTCTCCAGTAGCATATGGCCCTGGGCACAGTAGGGTGTGGCCCCCACAATAGTGACCAAAAAATTAAGTTACTCTTATGTGGCATTGCCACTAATACTTATTTAAAACTAAGCTGTTATTTTGCTCTGCAGGATATCCTGGTGTCTGTTGGAAATACTGTAATATCTCGGCTAGAGGCTGTAAATCTGTGTTCCGGTCAAAATACAAATCTGGAATTCAAAGTCAACAGAAACAGCCTAGAGCTCTGGACTGTTCATAGAAAAGATCTTCTCTACTCTGAAGACCTTTCAAAACAACTTGCCATCTTGGACAAAGCCATGAAAGGAACAGTGACCACTTACCTAGGTGGCATCCCAGGTATACTACTTATTGTTTCTCCAGCTATGAAAAGTATATTTTCAGTAAAACTGGTTTAGATATATAATTTTAGTAAAATGATCCCAATGAGGAAAAAATCCAGTATTTCTTAATATTTTTGGGGGGTAGGGGGCTAATACTGAAAGCTGGGAGTGTGCGGTACATTTAAATTCTTTTAAATAATGAACTGAAATGATACTAAGTTTTGGTGCATTTGATTCTCTGAACCAGAACAGACTTATTATTTCATTTCATCTTCAGAATAACCTTGTGGAGTTAGTATTCAGTTCATCCATCATTTACCCTAATAACCTAACTACCTATGACCCAGATACTAGGAACATAGTCATAAATAAGTATTATTTTTCTCTTTCATAATTCAGTGGAAGAGGCATATGTAAAATAAACGATCAGAATATCAAAATAATTTAAAGTTGTGTTGCATCTTTTTAAGAAGTATAGATTGCTTTTACAGTCCAAAAATAGGAGCTTGATTTGGTTGTCAGAACCTTAAGGGATGTTCCTAAAAGAATAGAATAAAATATGCGTTATTTGGAGGATTAAGAAATTTATTCAGGTGATAGGATAGTATTAGAATTAGTATACAAATATAGTGGTATGTGTCTGTACAAGATGAGAAAGGATTGACATGACTGCAGAATATAGAGAAATATGGATGGTGAAAACCTGTTGAACAAAAAGAATGGTAATGAAATTGGGTTGTGATTGGTTTGATAAGTTGTAAACCTGACTTAGGACCTTATTGTAAGAGCCATGAGAATCATCAAGTTTAAGAACAGGAAATGGTAAATCAGTATTACAATTTAAAAAATCCTTTGAATGGCAATGATTGAGATGTATCATTTTTGACCTGAGAGTCAAAAGTGGATTATTAAATTAGGTGCTGTTGATGTAGCATAGTTCAGTAATTTGTAAACCTGAGTCATCCTTATTTCCTTTCGCCCACCCCTCTCACCCCCAATTTTACCAATTAGCCCCCCTGTCTTGTGCCGTGGCCTTCCATGTATATGATTTTTCATTTGTATCCTCTTTGGACTACCGTGAAGGCTGCATATAGAAGGGAATATATGGCCTGTGGTTAAGATTCTTTGTTTGCTGTTGTTTTGGGGCGACAACTGGATGTGCTCAGGTCTTACTCCTGGCTCTCTGCTCAGGGATTACTCTTTGCAAGCTGTGGGGGACCATATGGGATACCAGCAATTGTACCTGTGTTAGACATGTATTATGCCTTACCTGCTGCACTGTTTCAGAGCCTCATTTTTTAAAAATTTTGATATCTAGGTACTTAATTTTTATGTGATTATAAATAAAATTTTAAAACTTTCTTATCTAGTTTGTTGCTTGCATATGAAAGTAAAAACTCTTATGTATTGAAATTATAATCTGCCATTTTGATGGTTTATTATTCTATTATCTGTTAGTGGATTCTTTTAGGATTTCATATGTATATTACCATGTTATCTGCAAACAGTGGTACTTCTACTCAGTTTTTCCAACTTGAATTGCTTTAATTTCTTTTTCTTGTCTTGCTGTTGTTACTAAAATTTTCTTTTTCTTTTTCTTTCTTTTTTTTGGGGGGGTCACATCTGGCGATGCACAGGGGTTACCCCTGGCTTTGCACTCAGGAATTACTCCTGGCTATGCTCAGGGGACCATATGGGCGTATGGAATGCTGGGAATCGAACCTGGGTTGGCCATGTGCAAAGCAAACACCCTACCCGCTGTACTATCACTCTAGCCCCTAGAATTTTCAATAAAACATTTAAAAAGAATGTGACTGTGGAGATTCATGTCTTAGACAAAAAGCTTTCTGTTTTTCAGTTTTTTCAACACTGAGTATGATATTAGTGTTTGATTTGCCTTACATGGTCTTTACCATATTGAGATATATTCCTTTCCTCATTTTGCTAGCATTTTTATCATAAGCTAATCTTTTCAAAAACTTTCTGGTATATTGATATGATCATATGATTTTTATAATTTATTAAGGGATATGTATGATTTTTTTATGTTGGTGAATTTGGCATGTTAAGATTTTATTGATCATCTTTGTACTTTTGAGTATTTTGTAGAATTTTTGTTTGGGGGTCAATCTCTATCTTATTGATATTTATGTTTTTTTGAGTTCTGTTTTATTTCTGCTCTAATTTTATTTTTCCTTCCTTCTTGTAAAGCAAGATTTTGTTATTTTTTTTCCCTAATTCCTTGAGTTGTGTAATTATGTTATTTGAGATTTTTTATTTTTTCATGATGTAATTCTGTACTGTAATGAACATTCTTAGTATTTTCTGTGTCTATATGTTCTAAAAGTTCATATCTTTATTTTGGTTTGTTTCCAGGAATTTTTTTTGCTTCCTCTTTTAATTATTAACCCAGTAGTTGTTCCATAGAATATTGTTTAGCTTCCCTATATTTTCTACCTTTCCTTCTATGTTTAGTTTCTAGATTTATGACATTGTGATCCAAAAATATAGTTAATATGATTTCATTTCTTATGAATTAACATTTGCTCCATGCTCCAACATGTGTTCTATCCTGGAGAATGTTCCACATACATTTAAGAGGAATATTTATTCAAATTTTGGGCAATGGTGAGGACTATAAATGTCTATTAAGCCCATCTGGTGCAATTGTTCATTTAAGACTCTTGTTTCTTTATTGATTTTATGTCTGATTGACCTGTTCACGGTGAAAGTTGGATAGAAAAGATCTCCACTACATTTCCTTTGGGTGGGAGTGCACCTGATGATGCCTGTGGTCTACTCCTGGGTTGGTGCTCAGGGATCACTGCCAAGTGATATTCAGAGGTCCATGCAGTACTTTGTATTGAACTTGGGTCTCCTGAATGCAAAGCATGTACACTAGCCCTCTGAGACAGCTCCCTGAACCTCTATTACTATTTTGTTGTGGTCAGTGTCTCTCTTCAGACATTGTAATCATTGATTTGCGTATTTTGATTTTCTTAGGTACATACAGTTATTGAGTGTTAAGTTCACTTGTTTTGAAATGATTGTTTAATCATTATGTGATGTCTATCACTTTCTTTTTTTTTTCTTTTTGGGTCACACCCAGCGATGCTCAGGGGTTACTCCTGGTTCTTGCACTCAGGAATTGCTCCTGGCGGTGCTCGGGGGACCATATGGGATGCTGAGAATCGAACCTGTGTCCGCCATGTTGGCTGTGTGTAAGGCAAATGCCTTACTCTCTGTGCTATATCGCTCCAGCCCCAGTCTATCACTTTCTTGTTGAACTTTTTCTAAATTGAAGTCTATTTTATCTGATTAATCTGTTCCTGCCTTTCTTAAGAGCACTCTTTGTTTGATTGTTTTTCAACCTTTCACTCTGAGCCTTCATCACTGGAGTTGTGGAAGGTTGGATCTTGTTTTCTGGTCCATTCTTCTTCTCTATGCCTTTTGATGGGTGAGTTCAGTCTATTGCTGTTTAGTGAAACTATTGATATCAAAGTATTTACTGGTGGGGCCAGAGCAATAGTTCAATGGATAGGATGACCCAATTTTGATCCCTGGCACCCCATATGGTACTCCTAGCCTCTGCCAGAAGTGATCCCTGAGTGCAGAGTCAGGTGTAATCCCTGAGCATTGCTGGGTTTGGCATCAAAACAAAACAAAATAAACAAAAAATTTAGTGGCATAAAAAAATGGCTTATTTATATATTTTGTGTAATAATCAAGTTCAGTTACTTTTTTTCCATATAGGTATTTTTAAATTTTCATTTATCATAAGGTTTATATCCAAGATAATAAGTATATTATATTTTGGGGGGTTGGCTTCTCATTGTGTGCCCAGGGGATCCTGGTGCCACTTCTGGCAATATTCAGCCAACTGCGCCAGTGACTCAGTGCTAAGGCCTAAGAATCTGGTGTCAGTTCGGTCCTGAGGTTCTGGGAACCCACTACAGAAGTGCTTGGGAGCTACCAGAGACACATCTGACAATGCTCAGGTGACACTGATGATATTCAGGAGGCCATGTGGTGCTGGGGCCATGCCAGGCACACTAGCCACTGTACACTCTGTTGGCCGCACCCTATTTTAATTCAAGCAAGTAAATATATATTTTTTTTTATTTAGACACTGTACTTTACATAATTGTTTATAGCAGGTTTTCAGGCTAAGAATATTCCCACCACATCATGTCCCCATCTGTCTACCATTGATTCCATATTCCCTCAAACTTCTATCTGACTCCTTGATATTTTTTAAGTTAATTTTTAAATTTTTTAAAAATTTTTTTTGTAGGAGTGCTGCTATTTATTAAGCCACTGATTAGCTGATTGAATTGGGCATGAACTCCACCTTAATTTTTTTAATTTATTTTTTCTTTTTATATTTATTTATTGAATCACTGTGGGAAAAGGTACTAAGCTTTTAGGTTTAAGTCTTGGTCATACAATGATCAAACACCTTTCCCTTCACCAGTACTCATTTTTCACCACCAAGAACCCCACTATACCCCCACTCACACCCCTCCAAATGCCTGTGAGGCAGATGATTTCTACTTAAATCTTCTCTACATTGATTACATTCATTATTTCGACAAAAGATGCACCATTACTTTTTAGAATTTCCCCCCAAACAATCAGAATTGCTGAAAAGGCATTGTGAAATATTTTGTTTTCTATAGCTGGCTATGAGAATCATATAATGTCATGCGGCCACGATTTTGGATTTCTGCAAGGAGCCAGATAATTACAAGAATGGTTTCTGTGTGTCCGGTGTTATGGCCATGCCGGAGAGCCGCTCATGGGGGGTAACTCGTGACCTCGGTAAGGCGTGAAGGACGTGCCTGTACCGCCTCCCTTCCCATGAGACTGCAGTTGTCCCTTCACCGCCGGCTCGTACCTGGCTTTCCTATAAGCTCTGAGGCAGCAGCCACCTTGCTGCCAGGGGGGAAAAAGGCAGAAGGGAGCAACACCCTTTCCCTCCTGGGGAGGCATGGCCCCATAGTTTGACGCATGTTC